CATAGAGAGTATAACAGGGTAATTTAGTATTATCAACTGAGTTGGTAACGTAAATTGTCATCGTAAGGAATCTTAAAAGCTGACGTTTCGAGCGTTAGTGAAGTACCATTTTTCTGGCGTAATTTATATACAAAATATTTTAGGTTAAAAAGGAAAGGACACACACACACATAAAACAACAATAATAGCAGGCACTCAAACAAACATCTACTGAAGCAGCATGAGAAAAGTAAGAAAAAATAATAATGAAAAAAATTAACAAAGAAATAAGAATAAGAAGGCAGTCAACGTAGGAGTAATGTTCGCAATTTAGACACAAGGAAAGTGTGCCAACATTTTGGATTTTTATATTTAGAGAATCGAAAAATTTAGGTCCTTGGAAAGATAACGCAAAATGTTTGATATTTGTTCTGCAAGGGGGCATGTAAAAGGAATTGCTTTGTCTGGTGTAATAACAATGATTGCTGCTCGAAAACGGAACTAATATCTTAGGAGCATCAGGAAGACGGTCTATCTTGAACGAAAACATGATCTTTCCTATTTGAAGTCGACATATATTGTATAGATTAAGAATTTTCAACTGCTTAAATATAGGTTCAGTATGAGCGTTAAAAGTACTTCTTGGTATAATTCGTACCACTTTTTTCTGGAATAGGACAATACGTCTCAAGGTGGATGGAGCCCCATGCCGTAATGCAATAAAGTAAGTAGGGATAAACAAGACTATAGCACAGGGTATATAAAACTGAAGTAGGTGGGCAGAGACTAGCTTTATAGATTATAACAATGGATTTTGAAACTTTCCTAGTGATATCAGCAATGTGCGATTTTCATGACAAATTTTCTTCAAGAAAAACACCTAAGAACATAGACTCTTTAACTCGGTTAATAGTGTATTGGTTAATATCTAGTATGTTAAGATTTTCCCTGTTCTGTCTTGGTTTGAAAACTATAAAATTTGATTTAATTATATTCACCGAAAGCTTATTGGCTCGGCACCAGTCTGTTAAGTAAAGTAATTCCTCATTTTCTCGACAAAATTCTAATTGTTATGAAAGAAAATGTAATTTGTGTAAATTAGAATTGACATAAATTATTATTTTGCCGGCACGGAGCAGTGAACTGGGTTCTAGTGTAGCGCGTGTGGGACTGCGGTTAGGGGGGTTAGTTATGCGTGTCATTCTACGGTCGGCTTCGCCGCGTCATCTTGCCTTGTTTAGTTTAGTTTTCACTTACTCTGTAAGCCTTAATCTCGTTATCACCCCTCAACTCCTTTCCCAAATCAAAGGTCTAGTATCGGCGTCTGTTTCTGACTTAAAAAGGTCAAGTGATTCCAACGCTGCCGAACAGATGTCCGAGATTAAAAGATTAAAGCGTGATGCACTGCCGTCTTTTAGAGAGAAAAGTGACGAAGATCAGTACGAGGCAAGCAAAGCTGTACTAAAAGGTGTTGAAGATGCCTCTGCTGCAGTAAGGCGAAAAGATTTGGTCAAGGAAGAAGCTTGATAGAGGTATTCTTTGGTAAAAGAAAGGCAAACAATGATCCTCTTGGCAGATAACTCACCGTTCGGGTGGAAAACCGTCTTGAGATTGAGCATCATGACCTAGCACACGACGAAGAAGACGATAAGAAGATATACAGAGCGGGGGCTCGGGCGGCCAGGGCTTCCAAGCGTTTCGTTACGCGTAGTTTTGGCGTCGCGCATCAGCACCGCCGATCGCACAGAATTCGCAGCTTGCAGTCGCTCAGTTTCCGAATACATTCAATCGACACACACAGCCTTCGACGAATAAATCTCCTGGTGTTTTTTTTACTTGCGGTAAAACAGGCCACTGGAGAGCTGCCTGTACCAATAATTCGTTCGCAAACAACTTCCCGAATCAACAGCCAAGGTGACTAGCACGGAGTGCTGCCCTTTTCAGGTCCGGAAGCTCGCCAGTGTGTGCGGTAAAATTATTTCTCTCGGGAAATGCGTCGGGAACGTAATTAGGCTCATGACCAGAAATACCTTTTCTGTTGTTAACTCCGTCTCAAACTGGAATTCTCTTGTCTCCCTAACGCCTGAATGCATAAATGAATTAAACTATTAGAAAGATAATCTTTCTACCATCAACGGTGTGCCTTTGTGGCCCGTGAAGCGAAAACCAACGAAAATTGTACACTCAGATGCGTCTAATTGAGCCTACGGAAGTTATATTCAGTTCGAGGACAAAATCTTTCACCGGAATTGGTCAGATTTGGAGAGCTCTCGGTGCTCCGTGCTTCGTGGGCTTCTTGCTGTTTCACTATCTTTACAGGCGTTTATACACTCCCTCGAGGCGCGGACTGTCGTCTGGTACACAAATAATAAGAACGTTGCCCGCATCGTGAGCATTGGTTCTAAAGTTCCAGCTTTGCAGAAAATGGCTCTTGATATCTATTGTTGTTGTCTCATTTAAGCCAACTATTTGACTAATGTGCTTTGAAAACACGGGCTACAGGCCCTTGAGATCCACCCTCGAGAGGTCAGCTTGTTGTATTCAAGAAATTGCTGATTGTTGTTTTACAGTACAGGTTAGAGGTCCTTGAGATCCACCTTGGTGGGTCTGCTTGTTGCATTCAGTAACAGTTCAAAGTTGTTGATTTTTGTTTTACAGTACGGGCTAGAGGCCCCTGGGATGCACCTTGGTGGGTCTGCTTGTTGCGTTCAGTAACAGTTAGAAGTTGTTAATTTTTGTTTTACTGTACTTGCTAGAGGCCCTTGAGAAGTACTCTTGGTGGGTCTGCTTGTTGCATTCAGTTACAGTTAAGTTGTTGATTTTTGTTTTACAGTACGGGCTAGAGGCCCTTTAGATGCACACTCGGTGGGTCTGCTTGTTGCATTCACTAAAATTTAAACGTTGTTGATTTTTGTTTTTACAGTACGTGCTAGAGGCCCGTGCGATGCACCCTTGTTGGGTCTGTTTTTTGTATTCAGTTAGATTTAAAACTTGTTGATTTTGTGTTACAATTCAGGCTAGAGCCCCTCAAGATGCACTCTTGAGGGGTCTGCCGTTTTGCAGCTTTATAAGCTTACGATTAAGGGTCCATTTTCGATAATTTTTCGCTATGTACATACAAGGACTTGTCGGCCTTTTATGATCCGACTTCAGTATACCCTTGTGTATATTTATCATTATATGTTGTCGCATGTGCTCTTTGTGGTTGTCTCTCGTTTTATTTTATATTGTTTGGCGTATTCTTCCTAGATATTTTTGATACAGATTTCTGGTCCTCGTGTCAACCAGTCTCACGTGAAGTTGCCTCGTTGATGGAGAAATTGAAATTCACTGCGTTAGCCTCAAGCAACTTGCTGAAAGGATTGACTTTGGCAATCTCCTGCAATTGGGAAACTTAGTCATGTTCGTCCTCGCCTTTTCCAGCTATTTAAGAAGTTCAGAAGCATGTTAAAGACTCGCTATCAAGCAGGCTTGAAGTCTCTAAATCTCTATCCCTCTGAGCTCATGCCCTTTCTTTTACTATCTAGCACAGGCCTAGATGACCGACGCACCCATGCCTCCAAGTGTTGTTTTGTGTGTTCGGTTGCGTGATGAAGGTAAAATATGTAATTTGTGTAAATTAGAATTGACGTAAATTATTACTTTGCCGGCACTGAGCGGTGAACTGGGTTCTAATGTAGCGCGCGTGGGACCGTGGGTAAGGGGTTTGAAATAGTGACCGGTTAGTTATGCCCGTCATCTTGCTTTTAGTTTAGTTTTCATTTACTCTGTTAGCCTTAATCTCGTTACCATCCTTCACCTTCAAATGATCATTTAAAAACACCAAACATAATCATCCAAATTGATTTTAGCAGCATTTATTAAGCATACCAATACCCATTTCTACAGGACGTTGCAGATAGTCACGAGATTATTAAGTGGAACGACCTTGTCTCTCTATAGATGGACAGCAAAATAGAAAGTTAAGTGCAGCTGTCTCACACTGACTAGAACTGTTTGCAGTAAATGTGAACACAATTATTATACCTGTAGTTAGTTAATGTAAATGAGGTTATTAAAACGGCTCCCATTATAAATGAATAAAGTTAAAGCAGCAACTAGGCCATAATATAAGTAAGAACCTCCCTCTGAACAATAAGTGATCACTGGTTCGGATTTTTATTCAATCCTACTTCTATTCTTTCAAAAGCAACCACCTGACGTTTCCCTATAAATATTCGCGCTCAACAGCCAATGCCAGTGAAATCTCATAGTGAGGTGGAGTGGAGCGATCTCTGTGTTTTAACAGGTTTAACAGTGAGGTTCAAAGTTATTGTTGAACTTAATAAACACAAGGATCGGGAAGGGAAACGCACGTAATCTTCGGACTATCAAAGCTTTCCTGATCAAGTTTCCCCAAAACTATTATAGATCTATAATCTGGAATTAAATGTCCCGAGAAAAATATAGATAGGCTGTGCAATTTGTCTCTTTTCAAATTTCCTAATTAAAGGAAATAACCTTCACGTTAGAGGCGCTCGTTTATATCTACGATCTGCTCCAGTTTTCACTAAGAAAGAGAGACGTGGAAAGAGGGTCATCACATTCGACTCACCACACATCCTTGCATATCTCAAATCGGACGTTGATAATTTTTCTACTAAATTGCAGTATTTTATAAAATTTGCTTGTTTTAAAATATAATTACTCACCCAGAAAATTATTGGATAAATCGTGGGAAGTTTAAAATAATGTTAAAATACATCGCTTGGTCACTGAGTAACACCATTTTGTGATAATTAGGAAAATGTACTTTTGAACTGCAGAGGTTCTACTAGAATACCTATTCTAAATGTTTATACGCTACACAGCTAATTAAAGATAAATTGAAAGCTCGCTGATCAAGTTAAACCAGCTGTGCATGCAAAACTGCTGATGCACATTCCACTTTCCCAAATTAAGCAAAAATGATTTACCATCAAGCCTAGAAAACCATGAACATCAAGAAAAAATGGTATTGTGCCGTCAATGGAAAAACATTTATAGGATTATCAAGTTGAGAGCAACATCGCTAAGTTTATGGTTCTCCTGTATTCTTGCGGTTCTTGATCTCCTATGCACTAAAATTATAAACATTCCCGAAGAATCAAAGGTTTTCAATTTGAGCAATGAACACAGCTACTCGACAAAAAAGACTAAATTGTTTCCGGGCATTTCTTTCTTTCTTTTACGAAAAGGACGTGGTATCGAAAGGAATAAGATAATGTGAACTACGACTATCCTGTAGCTTTATGGTGGTGCATCTGACCGGCGATGATATACCACAATATTTGAATCCTCTCACACTTTTGGCAACAAATCTAAATCTAAGCATTATGTTTTTCCTTACGACAGATTAGTTCAGCAGTTTTTGATTGCACCTGAATAAACGGGCACTTACAGAACAATATCATATATATTGTAAAGCTTAGAGCTACTTGGCCCTAAATGCACGCGAGAGACATTTAAAAAAACGCATTAAAAAAAACGCGCACGAAAGAAGCTCATTAGCATGTATGAAGCAGTCTTTTGTTTTACCCTTTTCTAACTTTGAATGATGTGTTAAATTTATAACAAAAGAAGGCTTCCGAAATGATTTTTGAAATGGCTTGCCTGCATTTCCTGACTTTTGAAATGGCTTGCCTGCATTGTGGATGAAAAGGAAAAAGTTTTTTGACCCGCTGGGTACCTCTTTATAAAGCGAACAAGATCAGGGAAGATCAAGTTCAATGAAGTCGCTGTCGTAAAAGTTTACAGCTGGCGGCTAGCAGCAAAACTTGAATCGTCTGCATTCATTTGTCAGCAAAGTTAGGTGAAATTAACATAACTGATTAACATAACTGATTAACTGGAACAGGAACAAGACGTACCTTGAGATGACACCTAGCAAAGAATAGTTTTTCCTGTTTATATGGTTGTGTCATTGCCATTAGCATGGACACTAGAAAAATTCTGGAAGTCGAACCCTTAAGCAAAGTCACGGTTACAAAATGTCAATCACTAGTGCAATTCGCAACACTTTGGATGATGTTTTCAGTGGTACCACAATGAAATGGACAGTAAATATTGAAAATAGAGTGGAAGACCACCTGTGAAATAGCGCTGGGATCTGTGGAAAAAAAAACGCCAAATAAAAGCTAAAACGCAACTTTTTCAGTAATACAAAATTATACAAAGGGTAACACAAAAGACTGCTCCATACATACTCATGAGCTTCTTTCACGCGCGCTTTTAAAGTGCGTTTAAAAAAATTCCCGCTTTTCGCGTACATTTAGTGCCGATTACCTCTTAACTGCACTGTAGCTACACACATCCTCTACGATTTACTCCATACCACTGACACGTGGCATTGTTCGCGACCGGTCAGTTCATCAGGCCCAGCACACCGAAGCTCACCGGACTTCCGTTTCTGTCAGTGAGACAAAGAAAAACAAGTTGTAGTTTAGTGAAACAGGCAATTGACGGCATTTCGCTGGAAAGCCAAATTGGCTTCTCTTTTTTTAGCTGGTTATCAAAATTAACGGTGGTGGACAAATGTTGATATGTCGATAAACCGCCGTACTAAATTTTGAAAAGCTCACGTTTGGAACGTTAGCCCTCCGTCTAAGCAAAGCGGAGGACTGGACAGGTGGGTATCTTTGTGTGGCGGAGAAAGGTTTGGATTAGGCATGGTAACAGACGTTGTCTAACTGACATGAAACATCAATGCTCGTCACCAAGTTTGGCCTTATTTAACCTCACAAATGGCACCAAGCCTTGGTATTTCCATGGAAAATAACTCAGACGATTGCAAAATTTTACCGCCTAAATTTCCTTATCGTTCCTTTTATTTAACAAATAGAGAAGCCTTGATTGTGCTCCTTTCTATTATAAAGCACGCAGGAAGCGGCTAGAGTTCTCACTTCTTGAGTGCTCTAGCCGCTTCCTGCGTGCTTTATAACAGAACAGAGCGCAGTCAAGGCTTCTCTATTTGTTATATAATAAGGAATCCGTTAAATTCCCCAAGCATTACTTTCAATTTTCATTACAAACTTTATTTCCAAAGCGAACAACAGTGTCGTCAGCATGCTCTATACTCTCATAAAGTACGCCACAATAAGCCAATCAGAATCCTTGTTAGAATGGCTCAAATAATCTGATTGGCTGTACAGGACTGTCAAAAGTGTCAAACCATCAAAGTTCAAACACCATCAAAGTTCACATTCTGCGATAGTTTACAAACTAAAATAGTTTGGCTGTTCGAATTTAACACTTATGCCAGAAGTTTTTAAGCCTTTAATACAGAATCTTGAAGTGAAATGTTCAGTGAACTTCAGCCGAATTATGGCTCATAAAAAAACGTGAGTTTTTTTCACATGACTAGGTAGAAAACAAACTGTTCAAGGCGATTGTTTTTTGAACGAACGACAGGCGAATTCACCGGAACATGAAGATCGCCCGGGATGACAGCGCCGCAAAACTCGGCTGCAGTGACTGATGTGACTTTCCACCCAACGCATCGGAAAGGATATCAGAGCAAGCTCTTATTTTTTCACAAGAAGGGCGGCTGATGTAGTTTCTGAGGCTTGCTTTACTGTGATGACAGGAGATCGCCATGATGAGCGAGCCGCGATGGACTTCAGCATGATCATATTCGCTCAGACACCGTCATGATTAGTATGAATTTTAACAGTTATGCCAGTTTGCTTATATTTTCATCATTTCTGTTTTGTTCTGTTTTGTTTTTGAACACTGAACTCTATATACTATACGAGTGTTAGTTGTGTTTGATTTTTATTACCGTACGTAAGCTTGCAATCTAACTGGGCGTGAAAATCTTTAAAACTCGGAATGTCTATTTTGTTTTTCCTTTGTGGATTTTCGTATCTGCTCACGTTTTAATAACGTAAATTACGGCGTCTGGTATGTTTACAAACCTTTGTTTGGTTCTTCTGTTGCTACTTGCCGGCTCGCTTGTTCCGAAATTTCACTTTCAATTATCGGAAAAATAGCTTAAAAGAAGTCCCGGAAAAGGTCGGACATAGTACAATTTGGCAGATGGCGTGACAGCTTTAGCTCAGCTCTATGCTCTATACTCTCACAGAGCACGCTCTTTCAACCAATGATAGCGTGCGTTATATCCGAACTTTGTTATAACAGTAAATGGCCCGGTGGAAGTATTTTTATAGTACGTCCTTTTTCGTATACAGAAACGCTCTAAGAGAAATCTGCACTCCTCCTTGCAGTTTATGGAGTATCGACTTTTGAATTACATTTTAACTTCTTTATCAGCGGAATGCGGTCTTGAGTACGTATAAATTATTGTGCAGAGAAAGTTATACATGTATTTGACCATTCGGTTATGAAACAAACTTTACCGAGATCTCGTCACAATCAAAAGGTAAGATCCGTTTACTAGAGCTCTTTCATTGCGGGACCTTACCCTGACTTTCTCGTTGGTTTCATCTACCACTACCATGGAGCTTGATAAGTGATTGGAGGCTGGATGATTGGCCTCAGAACCCGCCTTTTGGTTGTCGTTTTGGTCAGAACCCGCTTCCCTACAATGTAAAGTGACTCTTCATTACATTGGAACCCTCTGCTACTTGAACTCTGAGATACGGTTTTTCAAATGAATCAGTTAAACAAAATGTTTATTCTCATTCAAAGACATTGAAAACAAAACTGAAAAAATACACGCAAAGCAAAGCAACCAAGCAACCATTCGAAGTGCCATGAACAAAACAAAGACAAAATTGACTCCTTAGTAACAGAAAAAACAGCCAGTTAATAACACTTACATCTCTGAGTGTTGTCTTCCATTGGGTAGGACTTCTTACAGTAGCGTCCAAAAAAAGAAAAGAAACGGACAATAACAATTGCAGTTATATGTTTTTGAAAATCCCTAACTTTGCTGATAAATGTAAAATTTCCGACCAACTCAATTGACAATTCTAATAAATATGGGTCCTAAGAATGGCTTCCAACCCCACTTTACAACCACCTCCCCACGAATTTGTTTATTTTGTTTTCAGCAAATCGCATGCTGAGTATATGAATTGGTAATTCCGAAAAAAAGGCATTTATTTTCTTGGAAACCCAATGTCAGCCAGTTGTCGTGCAATGAATAAAAAATATCATAACAACCCAACATGTTTCACGTTGGATGAATTGTACCAAAAAGAATTTTTGAAATTTTTCCGTGACCATTTCCTGGCCTGAGGTCACCATGAAAAACATATGTAGTAAGTAGGAGTAAACAAAAAGCGATTAAAAAGGGTCTACGTTCAAAAGATAGATTTAAATGGAAAATACTCACCCTTTAGATGCTTTCTATTCCATTTATATAACATGACCAGAAAAACCAGAAGAATTACCACCACAAACACAATGATCAAAATGATCCACCAAGCGATCCCTACAAGACATAAACCGTCAGTGATTCAGGACAAGTACAGCTAAGTATAATTAGTAATCAAGAAGCTACGCTTTCTATCACTACGTTTGGACAGGTGATATTTCAATGAAACCATAGGAAAACTGTGGTTAGTGTTTCCTTAAGAAACTGTTAATATTAGTTCTGGAAGTCCCACTGAGGCACAACCCTGTTTCGCACAGGGTCTAATGACTGCCATCTTAGTGCTACGATAAGGTTTTCAAAATGTTACTGTTAAACAAACTGTTCAGTCGCATTCAAAAGGAATTAAAAGAGAAACATGACTGAATAAACACATACATGTACATGGTGAAACAGACAGATTAAAAGAAAGCATGGGAAACTAAGTGTAGAGGTGATCTTACTTAACAGCTATTCTCTCACTGTTGTAAAGATATCAACGGTTCGTGAGTGAAGCTAGGGAGCAACAACGCAGGCAGCTCAGGATTTGTCTTCGTTCTCTCTACAACAGTTTCGAATATACGTTATACTTTTTGCTAAGTCAAATGTCTTATTCTTTGTAAAAAAATTAGCAAAAAATTTTTGAGAACTGAAAACTGTAACACTCGGGTAGAAAAAGAGCAAAAGTCAGCCTTCTTTGTTATAATTGTTTTACTAACAGATGTATTTTTGGCTCAGGAATCAAATAGAGGAAAAATTCGTACTTAAGGTGCTGCTTCGAACTCTTGCTGGCCGTTTCAACCATCTCTTTCGTAAAAAGCCTCAGTTTGTCTCCCCATAACCCTTCCATATAAACCAATACGAGTCTCTACCTTGGTCAACGCGTTAGCAAGCTATTTAGAGGCAAGACAAACCAAAACATCTTTCGTAGACATTTTTGAAAATTCAGGTCATTAATACTTGTTCTAAGAACAGACAGTTAGGGTACCCAACTCTACAAAAAGTTATACTTTCAATTATGATTATGTTTTCTTTTGCTTTGGGAGGTTTAAGAGTATGATTACAGTGAAACTTAAAGCCAAAGGTAGTCACGAAATTAAATCAAAGTGACTCCATGGTAAACTTGTGGATATCTTGTGCAGAATATACGTTGAATATACAGAGATTTTTATTAAAATTGATAGAATTTGGTCAAGATTCACAAAGGAGATTAACATGTGAAACACTTTCCCTACAAATCCTGTTTCTTCATTTCCATGTTTCAAGAAAAGGAGATCTACCACACCTTATTAGTGAACCATTGTTCCTTACAAGCTACAAGAAGCAGAAGGGAGCAATCGTAATCCAAAACTTTGCCTGGATGGCTGATATTGTTCACGAACTTGTGATTTATATTACTATGTAATTTTTTTATTGGAGGCTGTTCATATTTGTTCTAAATATCCCACTAAGTGAATGATCTACACCTGTTATACGAGTTGGTAGTTCAAATAAACTGCTCGTAAGCTCTAAAGCTATTTTAGCGATGTTAGTGGGATGGAAGGACATTAATCTCCCTTTAAGCAAATGAAGAAGAAGTTGGCAATGTAATGGCCGCAATGGGGTCATCAGAGTAAATCGAGTTTTGGATTTCGAGATAACTGAATCCATAAATGAGCTTCAAGTGTAATTGTAACCGGTAATTTTAACTTAGAGAACTGCTCGAAGATAAGCGAACCACTCAACGCGTTCCCCACGCAGAGCCAACGCGTTGGCGTTTTGAACTTAGTGAAGGTCATTAGTAGATCACACTTTAAAACCATTTTGCAAAACAAGAGGCCCAAACAAAGCCGACTTTTTTGTCACATTCGCCTTAGCATCTCCACGGCGTCTGTGTATTCCCGATAACAAGCGTTATCCAAAGATCTGTTCTAAGAACTAAGAGTCGAGCGATTTCATTTTACAACCTGTAATTTGTGAATACTTTCGAAATTCTCGTTCACCTGTATCCCAAACTGTTTTTTTTTTTTTTTGGTCGATCGATTTTATGCCTACGTGCCGCATGTCTCGAAATTCATCACAAGTCGCGGCGCTTGTGCTACCAATTCAATTAAATTCTAGCCGTATTAAGTTTGCGAACAACTTCGAATTCTCGGATCCAAATTTATCCTTTTAGATTGATCCTGTGTTTATGTGCCGCATGACTTTTCAATTTGACAAACATATCGACAGCTGTCGCTAGCGATGAAATTCTAGCCAGGTAAATTAGTAAACAACCTCGAAATACTCGCATCCCATGAATTATTTCTTGTGTTTACGTGTCGCCGCTTGTCTCGAAATTCGTTAAACATCCCGGCACTTGTCGGTACTTTGGCAATCAACTTCAAAAATAGTTGTATACAGTTTCAACCAGAGGAACTAAGGGGCAGAAATGTGCGAGGGGTGGCAGGAAAACAGCCACTTAATCCTGACAAAGTTAAAGTTATCATGGATGCAGTCTGCAAGTTCTATCCAGCTCCACCCGAAGGAAGAGATTTCCAGTGGAGAGACTGCAGGAAAGCAGTGGACACTTACCTAAGAGGAATTAAGTTTTCCGAACGTAACCAGTAGTTTTATTTGGCTCTGAGTGTTGTGTATTTCGATAGTTCTCGCCGTGTTTTGTTTTTTGGACCTAGATTTCACGAATAGGTTTGATGTAAATAGGATTAACGACGCATGAAATAACAAATAATTTTCTCTTGTTTTGAGATTGTTAAAAAGTTAGATCACCGACATTTGAGTATCGCGAAAAACCATGCATGTATTTTAAGTAAGGAGCAAGTAACAATAAATGTATGTTCTCACACACACAATACAGTCGGCTGAAAGCCGGGCGAAAAGCGGCAGAACGTAAACAAAAGCGTGACAAACTATAAGTATGTTTTTTTCGCTAGCAGTTCACGAATAAAACTCGTGACTCGAATTTCGATCGATAGGCTTTAAATAATGAAACCTTCTGCCTTGGCTTGGGCTACTGGAGATTGTTTGACTTGATTAACGCGGATTGTTGAAAACCGCCTGATGTTTCCCTTGACGAAATCGTGATTGAAATTTTGGTTGCAGAAAGAATCGACTCGCGTGGCTCAGACATTCTGGCGATGAGCGTTTTCGATTCTCGACTCGAGAAGCAGAGAGCGCATCAGTTCGACTGGGTTCTTTTGTTTAGAGTTGCTCTGTAGTTTTCGAAAGCTTGCCTTATTATTTTTTTTCAGATATCTGTCGCAGAATACATTTTGTTCAAAACCGGCGAAAAGCAACAGAACGTAAACCTTGACCGACAAGTAAAATTATGCAAATTCAAAAAGGTTTTCAGTTGCGGATGAAGGCCATCCTTTGAGTTGGTCAACAATGGATACAAAAGAAAGAAGGTTGGAGGTGGCAAAGTGAATAACAAAGGCGATACGGGTCGATGATCAACGCGTTAGCTAACGCGTTAGCGAAAGAGCACTAACGCGTTGACTTCTTCGAGCCCAAGCGTTGACAACGCGTTAGGTGGTTCGCTTATCTTCGAGCGGTACTGTATTGTTTAAAAAAGGTTACCAGTGGTGTTTTACAATTGCCCCTTCCCCAATAATTATGCACATTATACAATAACCATTTTATGCTTTCTCAGCACACTGTCTACCTCCTGCTAATGCACTTCAGCAACAGACAGTTTGCTTTTTTAGCCAAAAAAAAGTTTTTGTTTGGTCTTTTGTCTGAAATGATGCAAGTACACATCTACTGTCAATGATTAGTGTTAGTCTGGAATCATGAATGCCTTGTAGAATTTTTATATTTTTCTGAAATTTGGCTCTGCTTACAAAAGGAAAGTACATTTCATCCATTTTGTTTCATTTCAAGGTCCAGCAATGTAACAGACAGGTCACCAAATACTACTGTGAGTGCACCTGGTTTCCTTATAAGGGGTAAATTACCCAGCATTTAATGAAGATAAAGAAATTCAAATCAATGTCAACATAGGATAAATAAAATCGAAATTGATTTCCAAATACATGTACTGTAGAATCCCCCCAGCCAGCATTACCATAACATTTAAATTTCTGTTGGCAATTACTTTTAAGGAGGCAGAGTAGCAGACTAGTTAGAACACTGGTCTTGTAATCTGGTGTTTCGGGGTTCAAAGCCTCCAACCTGCTAATCAATGCCAGATTTGTTCTCATTTTTCCTGACTGAGTTCACTCCTTAGCTGTACTTTAAACATAAATGTTACCAACTGGCCTAACCCCTGCCAGTTAGGGATTTTATGATAATATTCTTTGACAACTTTTAATTCTAATTTGTTTTCATTTTAGTGCCTTAACGAAAATTGATTTTTGTAAATCTTGTTTACCTTAGTAAATTAAAATAAAGTGTATTATTACAACTGTTGTTGTCATACTGATCATTATTATTATACACCAAGCTTTCAGATCTCTGTAAGAGCCAACCATAGTAACAATTCTGCATAAACTATTGTAACTTTCAAAAACATGTTTCTCACATCAAAAAATATGCTTCCAATCAAGCTGTATGGCAAGGGCATTCATTTATCAGCTTGCAAAAATTTTATAGGAAGTGTTTTGAATACTTACCTCCAGAGGAAGCATCAGTTGGTGTTGTGGTTCCTCCACTTGTTTGTTCCACATCAGGTCTTTTCCCTTTTAACAAATGCACACTGAACTCTCCCAGCTTTCCATCTTTCACATTGTCATTAAGTGTTATGATAACATCTCGTTCCTTTGTAGTGGAGTTGAATTTCAGTGCAAGGTCGATACTTCCACACCTTGGGACAGACATTAACTAAGGGTTAGAGTGACATGAAATGGAAAACAGATAACATAAGACCAGACAATAACATTTCTAAAATTAAATATTTGATAGCAAGAGCAACTGGCAATCATCTAAATCCCATTAATTCCCATACCTCACACCTATCAACTGCACTCCTTCATAGCCAAGTTTATCAGCAAAAGCCTCCTCAAGCTGCAAGTAAGCATTTCAATCATTTGTTATACATTTTAGTGTACATGTATCATACATAAGAATAAATGAGGACGACACATGGCTGTTTTACTAAGAATCAGTCTCTGAGTATTAATCAGTTGTGTCTGTGAAGTGCTACTTCAATGAATAATTGTTCTTCTTCTTATCACTTGCCTCTTATTTTAATTTGGAAAGAAAACACCAGGCCTCTTATTTCCCTAAATATAGACCAAGAGCAAACACTGAATGATAACAAGATTGCGAAAAGCTTTTCAAGTTCAAGATTTGACAGACTGTATGCTATCTAAGAATTCAAGAAACACTAAAATTAGATGCAATATTCTCCACACATTCTCCACCAGCCAAATTTCATTTTAATCATTATACACCTAGCACATCAGTCTCTGACCCTGAAGTTAAACTAACACACAGTGACAACTATAACTGGCAATTTAACAGATCAAGAGAAGTTCAACACAGGCACAGAGTTTATTTGTGAGAAAATAAAATCCTTCCAATGTAAACTAATATTATGTTTATTTAATAACTTTGACAGCAATATCAAAGTAACATGTACATCAATTTACCAGTTCTTTGAATTTCTCCAGTAAAAAGGATTGCTGGTATTTTTCACCTATACATATCTCACTTGTGATGAAAATAGTTATGTTGATCACATTTCCTCCAATGTCTGTGAAGTAGGAGAAAAATCATTACTAAACAATTTACTCCACCTTTTTATTGATACACTGGTATTCCATTTGAAAAACTGGATTTTTTGAAAACTTTAGGACCGTTTTAAGGCTATTAAAAGGCTCAGAGACAATTGAGACATCCATTGCTTCCAGTTAGGGGTTTTATCAAGAGCAACTGGCCCTTGCGAAATGGCTTTTGGAATTCCTAGGAATTCCTAGGAATAAAGGTGTGAATTTTCACGGTAAATTCGGACTGGGAATTCCTAGGAATTCCTAGGAATTCCCAACCATAACAACTCTGGTTCAAAAACCTAGAAATTCTTAGAAATTCTTAGAAATTCCCAGAAATTCCCAGAAATTCCCAAAAATTCCCAGAAATTCCAAGTTTATAGCCAACAGGACTTGGAATTCCTAGGAATTCCAACTCAGAGAACCAATGACTTTCCCTGAAAAGCTGTAAATCTCAAAAATTCCTAGGAATTTCTAAGAATTTTTGGGAATTTTTAGGAATGTTTAAGAATTACTGGGAATTTTAAGCAAAAATTTGAGGCTAATGATATAAAATAAATACTTTAAATTAAAAAAACCCAGCTAAAATTCAAGTATTCAATGATAATTTATTAAGAAGCTTAATTAAGGCTTACATGTAAAATATTTTTGATGAATTATTAACATCAATGTGTGGTAATATTAGGATGGAATTTGAATTATTTTTCTTTTCTTGAAAACTTCATACGGATTAATCCTCAATTACAGCTATTCATATGAAATAGTCCTAATCAATCATTAAATTTGGTTTGACACAAATTGTGAATAAAATCTGTTGATTCTTTTCCATAAAATACAATATCTTAAATTATATTTGAAAACCAAGCACTCTTGGGAGTGAAGGGGTTAATTACAGACAAATAAAATTGATTTTTTGATTAAAATCTTGTTGTAAATGTAACAATAAATTAGAATGAAGTTATCCTAAACTGCAAACTTAGCTGCTGTTTGTATTTTTTTTCCTGGGCTCACAATGAGTTGGCCTTGAATGAGGTTGTCTACAAGAAGCTTGACCATTTTGTATCTGGATTCCACGACATCTGAATTTGAAAAAAACATATATATTTAAATATGTATACTTAAAGCTCAGACCAGGCCTTTAAGATGGCTATGAGGAAAAGGGCATTCATTGGATTCTCAAATTGAGAAATCTCTGTTATATTGAGTGACTTTTATGTTGGAGTTAGTACATCTCTCCCATAGATTTTACTAAAAAAGGGCTGAATACATTATTTTGTTTTTACCAAGGAGGGCTTCTTTATGTAATAAGGTTTGTTTAATAACAGTTCCTATTATGAATCTTGAATGTTCCCAAACGTGACTAAAGGAATCTTGAAACCTTACTGATAGGTTTATTTCATTGGTAAAGCATAAGCTTAAGAAACTGCGGTATGCAAGTGACCGATTCGATTCTCAGAATTATTCTAGTTTCAGTTGCGCCGAGCGTTATGTAAGCTTAATTCAACCCGCTACATCTATTCTTTTATAAGATTTTGATCACGTAACGAATATCGCAATTTTTACTCACCACAAACTTTCAAGATCGTAGCTTCACAGATAGCCACTCGACCCTTGTTTGTACCAGTCGATATGTCAACTGTTGTCCCTTCTTTTAACTCCACGGCGCCAACGACTTTCTTTTCTTTTACAACACTCACACGGTTCTCGTTTTCCCATTGAACCACAATAAAAGCTATCTTTAGAAATGTTATATTAAGAAAAACAGTTGAGAAAAACGATCAACCGATGAAAATTACATTCAAAGACGAGCGCCAAATGGAGTCTTCTTTGTTTCCGATCACGGGCATGATCACGTGGATCTTTTAGGACTTGTCATTGGCCAGCAAAGTGAATCCGCTGGCTTGCCGATTGCAGTGTTAAGAGGAGCGCACAACTTTACCCTGACTTCTCCGACCAGTTCTCTGCTTCTAGACGATGGATACCTTGGTGATATAAATAATGATGTGAGCTCACTCTATGTAGAAATAATCGACAAGAATCGATCGTATTACAAATGCACGATTGGTGGCCGAAAGTTGTCGAGGAAACAAAGACTCGAAACTCTCTTGAGTTGTGTTCATGGTAAAGATGAGAAATAACACAAGCCAATCACAGTTTTGAATGCGACTACAAATCGTCCTTTACCCTCATATTTATAAAAGAAGGATACCACATTAGGAAGTATAAGAGATACATAGATGATCCCAGTGTACCAGTACCTAAATCTACAAAGCTTGACCGTAGCAAGCGTTCAGCAACACGTTCCAACACCGCCATCTCGATTCCTCAGTCAGTCGTTTCCACTGAACTTAAAGCAGTAGTGACAACAGAGTAGAGTGCGTCTTACAAAGGAGAAACATTTTTACTAGAGACAGAAGTAGCTATATGCGATTACAGAGGTGCGATGGAACTCTGGTCCACAAATAGTTATGCACTGTCTCAAGTATAAAACAATTTTGTTGATAGCTGACAGACAGAGAAGAACAACAAGTAAACTTTAGAGCTGTTATTATTGAAGTGTGACTTGCACTTTTCATTGTTATATAAAGAAGGACTTGTATTTTGCACCAAAAATAAAAAGATGTAATCTTTTTTGGGAGATCCAGTGATTATGACATTTAAGAAATTAAGTTATGAAAGGAAACTTGGTTGGTACTTCTCACTACTAACAAGTCTTGTTGACAAATATTTTCAGATCAGAGTTTCAAATAAAGTAAATTGAAGTCGTCATTTAAAAGGTGTTTTTTCTTAAAGGGAACATTGACTACCTCTGTCTTGTCTGCATGCCAAATGTGTGGATGATCCACAAGCATTGGAACTGTTACAAAAATGTTTTGTAATAATAAATACAGCAAAACAAATTCCAGCAATTAGTCACGAAAATAGAGCAAAAAACTGAAAAAAAACAGCAACAACAATCATGAAAAAAGAAAGATTAATTAGGTGTTGAATTTGTTTGTCTAAGGCATGAAATTTCAACTAAAAATATTGTCAACAAAAAGTCTCTGACTGTGTTTGAGGCAAGTGAGCTTGACTGTTCCAAGGTTTTCTAACAAAGGCAACCAGTACTGTGGGTTAGGGAAGTAAGATAACAATGTAATTATTGTTAATTATTGTGAAAGTTGAGTACCAAGGAACAGCCAATGAATGTTTGATGATTTTGGCACATCAGTGAACATGAGACATTAATTTGCATCACAATTAAAAATATTTTTTGATCACGGAATCCAAGAGTCCATTTAGGTTAGAAAGCAAATCTGTGATATGAGTACATTGGATTAATTGGCAATTTCCATTCAACATAACTGACAGCTGGTTCATGAGAAAATCCATATTAATGTAAAGATTTACTAAAACTTAGTTTGAATAATACATTTCTTGATCTTTAAGTTATAAACATATACATGTATGTATATCTCTTGGTAAGTTTTGTATAGCATACCTTTTATTGAGTCAAAGTTTTAAGCCTCTGAAATTACCCCTTTTGTTAAAACCTTCACATTCAAGGTATTGAGAATTTCTTAGAATTTATGTGGACCTCAGGGTATTAAAATTGCCTCAAATTCAATTCCCAGAAATTCCTAAGAGTTCCACACTTCTTAAATTATAGGTAGTTTGTAAAGCTGAGAATTCCTATGAATTCCTAGGGATTCCAAGTCCTCACAAAACTGGAGTCTTCCTTTCCAAGAAATTCCCAGTAATTCCAAGCTTTTTAAATCAGATTTAATTTGCACAATTGGGAATTTTTGAGAATTCCTAGGAATTCCCAGAAAATGGGAATTCAGTTCGCAAGGGGGGGTTTCTGTCATAGCTTACATGATCCTGGGCACTCATCAAATTTTCATCATATTTCTTATTGGTGGATTGTGTTCATTGCTTGCCAAATGAAAAATTGTGTTGTTATTATTTTTTCTGAGCATGAACCAGAGAAAAGGTCTAGCAAAATTTTGAGAATGTTCCTATAACTGAAGCAAAACAATGTAAGGGAAAAGTCAGTTGTTCATATCAAACTGACCTTTTGCTTTCAAATTCAAGTGCATATTTCAAGTGCCATTGAGGAAATCAAAATGTCTTGTTGGTACATGTATGAAATTACAGCTGTTAGATGCATGACTACAATGTACATGTGACTTACAAACATTGGCAGTTTTTGAATCAAGTCCATGTACATTGGCCACTCTGCAGGTATAGTTGGCATCATCAAAGACTTGTGAAATATGAAGAGTATTCTTGTCACAAACTTGTTGTATGTCATTGCATGGAGTCCAAGTGTATGTAGGTGGAGGGTTTCCTTCTGCTTCACAGTTAAGAGTTACACTTTGTTGTACAGCACCAATATACTTAGGTTGAAATTTAACAATCTTGGCTGGGTCTGTACATGAAATTGGAAAATAAAAAATCAGATTAAAAACAGCATCCACACAAAGATACATCTCATTTGTACATATCTATATTTCAAATCTTTGAGCTGAGATCTTGCCAGATATGTTGAACTGGATTTTAAAGATTTTGAAATCAGCATCAACAGAATTAACATACATGTATTTGTTAACACAGATAATGGAGCACTAAGGTCTCCTAACACAACATCTAATCTTAAATTTTAAGAGGAGTTTACATTTACAGGGGTGGGCAAACACCCCCAATTTGGTCCCAATGATGAGTGAAAAATATATAAAAATGAGTGAAAAATATATTTGGCGACAACAAAAGTTGCCAATTGGCAACCACCAGATTTAGGAAAAAAAAAGAAGGGAAAAATGTGAAAAATTTATCAATCTTTGGAAGAATTATCAATGAATTATCCTGTAGTTATAGTTTCTGACACATTAATTTCATATGTAACCAAATGAAAATGAAATACAAGGTGCTTTCTTATCATGGAAGGAACTTGAGAAAGAGCTCTATACAATAGCTGACTACTTACATTTCCAAGCAATGAAAACATAAATATGCTTTCATAAGCATTTCTATTTTCAAAATTTATGATGGTATTTCTAATTTTTGGGATGCTTTGCAGCCTAAAGCAAGTGAATCTAAATCATCATGTATTCTAATTAATTACACCACTATGAGATTAAAAGTGAAGAAAAGTCAATTCTTGACAAAGGGCCAGTTCCAAGAAAGGCCAAAGTATCCTCCAGTACCACCTAATCTTCTAACCTTCTAACCTTCAATTTTTGTGGTACAAAGTATGGTGGCTAAATATCTAGTGATTAAAGATGTTATTTCAATATCAAAGGCTTTAAAAACCACCACATGTATTTCAGCTCACTTTTAACAAGAGATGTTTCTCAGCTGAGCAAGACCAAAATAGTTTTAAACATGATTTGAGTCTTCGTCGGCTTCCAGACAGAAGAGTTTCGTCATTCTCACTCTCTTGACCATTTTTACAATCTTTTAATTGGCAAAAGTCAGTGAACATACCAAGTTGGCAAATAACAGTGTTGCAATCATTTTATTCAGCTCACCAAATACCTTATGTAGTGCAACTTGAAATACACTCCCTTCAATGTGAGTTATTTTGTTTGTTTGTTTAATAGCAATCATTTTATGATTGAAGGATTTTTTAAAAAATTGAGCTTGGAGCCCTGCACAGATGTACTTAGCCAAACATCAATAAATTAAAGTAATTGACAACATAGTAAATTACAAAATAGAAAATACATGGAAAGTGCATCTCTGTTTAAATTTAGACAATGCATTTTTCAATGCAATTACTCACAAACTACATCCACATAAACTGTTTGGTTCTCTGGTTTACCAAAGCCATTGTATGCTCTACAGGTAAATGTTCCTGCAGCAGTTCGGTTGATGTTTGGTACATTCAGCACTTTTCCTTCTTGCACCACACGAGTATTCCCTTGGTTCCCAGCCTTCTCTTTGGTCCAGGAGACGTTTGCTTCTAGTCGACTGGATACTTTGCAGATTAACTGCAGGTTGTTGCCTTCAAGAACAGTTGGTTTACCTCCTATCCCAGTTATACTTAATGGAACTAAGAGCAATCAAAGATTCATAATTAAACTTCCAGGATAATTAAATTGGATGTTGACTCATAAGCAACGTGGAAAAGTGATAATACTGTTAACAAGATTTTTAAATATTTTTCCTCGCGCATGCAAATGAAATTCACACATGTTATGATTGTGCAAATTATACAAGAACAGTCCCTTGATTATAATCCATCATAAGTGCTTAATATACATAAATATCTTTAAGAAATTCAGTGGCCCTCAAACATTTTTCTGAATTCTTTTCTCAGCTGAAACAAAGCATTATTATTTTAACAACAGTTTCCAAGAAATAATTCTATAGAAATTAATATTGAGACCCAACAGAGCTATTTGCAAGAACATTCTTTTAAAAAATAATTTCTTCAAAGACTCAGCCCACCAAATTGTGATTAGCAAAATTATAACATGTCACCATAAAATGACTCCGGCAATGTTTTTGGCCAATCAGATTGTATGATTCCTTATCATGCCCTCTGCGAAAAAAAAATTTGGATCTTTCTGATTACTCGTTATTGTCTTGCAACATTTATCTGCCATTTTAATTGCAAGTTCTCCGGTATAAAGTGATCAACAGCTCTGAATAAAATATACCATATATGCCTTGAGTTCATTTCTAGATCATTCTCTTTGTAGTTTTATCTAATTGTAATATAGGTTATATACACATGTATGAAACTAATTCAGTATTGAACTTGGTCTTGTGAATAAAACAGCAACATGTTAGATTTGAAGGATTAGTCAAGTTTATTAGTACTTTGTGATCACATCATTCACACATGATTATCCTTATCATCCTTGCAACACATTTGTGTGCAAGTAATTGGTCTCAACACATCACGTGACAGAATATATGTATATAAATAGTAGCCTCTCCTTGGCATGAAAACAATCACAAATATTTGTCTGAGGACATTATCTGTTCCCAGATGCAAAAAACTGTGAGCTTTATAAAGGAACAGGTCATATTGAAGGGCAACTATGCAAGCAAGTCATGTCAAGTTTATTGTGTATATACACTTAGCTTTTGCGAGAACAATCTCACCTGCTTAGGTTTGGAGGTAATTTAACACAGAAATTAAAAGTGAAAAAAGAACTAAATTGAGATAATACCATCTGCAAATAGCTAAAATGATATGACTAAAATTAAGATTTAAATCTATTTTCAAAAGACTAGATATAACATTTCATAAAATGAGGAAAAGCTAAAACTAATTGACGATACAAGGTGTAAAGTATTATGATCATATCAAACCTGACAAGTCTAATTTTCTAATATTATTTAATAGTATAATTTAATAGCATAATTTTCTAGTAGCATGCTTTCGTGTAAAATAGTGGATGTTGTGGTTATTATCCTTCAAATATTTCGCATCACATGTAAAAAAAGAGGTTTACGAGCATTACATTGGATATTTTGCTCTTCGGGAAAGTCCCTAGCAACCTCAACAATTAAACAATAGTAAAGTATACTATTGAAAACTACCGCTAGGATTAAATGTGTCATGCCTAACAAAATCCATAGCATAAAACACAGTTAACTAAATAAATTTGTTGAAAGGAATGTTGAGGTTTTTCACGTAAAGAATTATTATTGTCTTCCAAAAGTCTACTTACACATTCTCTAGGCCCAAAGGACAAAAGCTAGCTTATATTTTATTATAGTTATTATTGATAAGAATCTCTAAAAGTCAGGAAAACTTTTAAGCTTACCCACAACTTGGACCTGAATTGCACGTCTCCATTTAGCAGCATTTAAGTCATTCAACTCACAGGTAAATTCTCCATTTGACTCATCGTCAGCAGTAGTCACTTTAGAGATCGACAGAGAAATGTTCTGTGGAGTCGAGATATTTACGCTGAACCGTTCCCGAAAATTATGATTAACAGGACCGACTTTCCCGTCTGATGAAATGGCAACTATAGAAACATCATTAAATTGTAATATAACTGAAAGTAGAATTGCTGTCAGATTGTAGTTCCAATTTAATATGGCAGGAGATCCTTCATAAACCTCTAACTTGCCAGGGATGAGATCTTCAGCTTGATTTGAAGTCGTCTGAACTGGAGTTGGTTCATACCATGTGACACTTCCGCCATCTGAGGGAGAATACTTAGATTTAGATTAAATTGTAACAATTAATATTTTCGATTTTATCCAAACAAGAAAACGATTCCTTTGATTTGAATTCAAAAACCCTAATTACATTCTAAAAGGCACAACAATCTGCTGCTGTTAAAATAAACTTCTTAAGTAAATGCATTACCTGTGAGTTGACGTACAAGTAAACTCCATGTAAAGATAAATTTCAAGAGACAAATCATTTTGGAAATGTTCTTGATTCCTAGCGATCAATCACAAAAGTTTACTTGAGTCATAACAAATGAACAACGAAGAGAAATTTGTAGAACTTTACAAAAACGGTGGAACTAACATCAGAACTGATTGGCTCCAGAAGTTTTAGACGGAGGTTCTAATTGGTTTAGGGATGTTTGAGAAGCAAAGGAACTCAGCTAAATCAAGGCCTATATATTTCCCGCCAATATATTTTGCTTGTCTTGCAGGAGTACTTTTTATTGACCTTAAGGTACCATATTCGCCCTGAAGATAAAACATAACACGAAGAATCGAAAATTTGTTGGCACGGATGTCTCTTCTTTCTCCTTAAACGACTATGGAAAATTAAGGTTATTTTTAATCGGTATTGACAAATGTCGAGCTACAAGAATTCTTTTGCCCCCGCAAATGCTGCTCATCCAGTACATAACACGTTTAATGTGATTCGATGAAAGTATTTATCGGTAAACACGCGTATAAGGTTCATTTAAAAATGCTCCTGCAACCTGGTTTCGCGAAGTCAGTCACTGCAAGATTTTAGCCGCCATTTTGTTCCCGAATGTACGGTTCACCTAGACAGCGGATGCTACTGTTACTATGGAAATGGGGAGGGTATGCAAGATGGTGGACAAGGAAGCCATCCTCCTTCCTGAAGCGAATTGCCTCTTGTAATCAATGGGCGAAAATTAATTTTTTCCCAAAAAAACCGGTATGTTATGAATAATATGTAGCTTTCTAGATTTTCAGATTAATTCATCGCACCGAACGTGAGGAACTGAGAGCATTTGTGCCTGTTTATAGTCTTCTGAAACGACAAGGCACGGATGAATTAAACTGCTGTAAAAGGCTATCTTTTTAAAATAAAAAAAGCGTTGAAACATGATCTTTTCATAATTTATGTGTGCATATAATATACCGCTCAAGAAAAATAGCGCCAACTTCACACTAAGTTATCGTACTGACAAATTAGTTCGCAAACAGTTTTCGCTCGAAAGTAAAATTAATAGTACAGTAGCATGGTTGCTACCCTTATTTGCCCGACTAGTTGTGGCTTTTCTCGAGTAGCAGCTTTAACAATCGTAAGGAAAACAACCGAGACGCTTTATCGGGAAAATGAGGAAGGGATGGCAAAATTTAAAGCGCGCTCAATGCAAGAGTTACGAACGGTACAATGAGGTCTTCAAAGACAGGTCTGAGGATTTTTCAATCGATTTTTTGAGGTTTCAAAAGAAAATTCCCGCGCACTACGCACTATGTTCAAGGGAAAAGGATGAAAAGGAAAAGTACTTGGACAAATTTAGTGTAAATAATTGGGAAAAAATGGCGTTCACGGAAAAGAGTGAACATTCTTTTGCAAACTCAGCAAAGGATGCCATCATCGCTATGCTGAAATTCAAGCTTTACTTCCAGTCAAGTAAAACCAGTTGAAGGGAATAGCAAAAGAGAATCCATTTTTCACCGCTGGAAAAGAATTGAAGATCAAGCCATGCAAGGCAGGGGAAGTTAAAACTATTGCAAGATCTTTGTACAATAAAATTGATGTCACCTTTCAAAAAGTATGCAGTATATCTTTTGGCGAGGCTTTGAATAACCTCCCAGAGCTCCAACTTAAAAAAAGAAAATCCCCAGCTGAAGTCAAGAGAGAAAAGAGAGCCACATATAGAAGATATAAACAGAGAGAAGAGGACGAATGGGAGAAAACTTCCCTTTTGAGGTAACTATTTTTTCGAAGAGGGCTACTGACTGTGCCAGTTTGTTGGGAACATATCTGTCAAGTAGGCAATTTATATCAAAAACCATCTAATTTAGTCAGAGCATCATCACCCAAAAAATCTGCTATTAAATGTAGTTACCAACAATTCAACAACTTTAAAAAAATGGGGAAGAAAAGATGAAAACTTAATACAGCACAAAAATGCTCAATTACATATTTATTAAGCTAAGAAGATTATGAATGTCCTAAAAAAGGCCTTTAATTGTAAAAATTTTCAGATGTCTTGGGGAACGGCAATCATATGCTGCAAGGCAACGGGATCGGCTTGATACTTCCTTTGAGACTTGAGAAGCTGCAATTAAAAGAAAGGAGATCAGTTCAGAACATGAAGAAGATTCAACTGTCAAAAGAAAACGTCATGCTGGCAATTTTGATCCTATGACATGGGACAAGAATGGTCTAAAGTCTGAAGTAGAAGGGTACGCAGATGGTGTGAAGGCTAATTTGTCAGAGATTGCCAGAAGGTACAAAATAACAAACCGGAAGGGAGAAATTGCAAAAAATGGGGGCCAGATAGCTCAGGAATGGCTTATTTCCCAATGTGTTAACCTACACAGATTTAAACGTGCTGCTGAAGTTGAGCGACAGCCCAGAAGAAAGAAATTAAAAGGACTTGGTGGTGAAATTTCCATCCCCACACCAGAAATAAATGATGCTTTAAAAGAGAAACTGAAACTTCAAATTCAGGAACGAGAATTTACAGTTGGCGAGCTTATAGTTCCTGGAGAGGTAACACAAGTTGAACCAGATATTGAAATAATTGATCCCACAGCTGCTGTCTTTTTTTTCAGCACTATGAACATATAGGGTCTTGAGGAAATCAATTTCTTTTTTACATCTGCTTGACTGGTTAAACAAACAAAACACAAAAACCATGATGGGAAACTAGTTTTTGTATAAGCTGCAACATAACAGTTTTGCCATCTACATGACCGATGAAGAATACAAGAAAGCATCAGGAAAAGTTGCCAATGTCCAGAAAGAAGTTGAGAAACCTCATGTCTACATTGTAGCAAGATGTAGAAGCCGTGATGTAGAGCAACTGGCCTATGTAGAGACACGTCTATGCTGTCTACAACATCTTCAAAGAAATCTATTGACCACAGATGGGATTGAAATAAAAGATATCTGTAACGAGTACGCTTACATGAAGCATTGAGCTTCCTGCGGCCACATGGCATCTTGGGAACAGCTTCCTCGTGTGTCGGCCATGTTGTTAGCATAGTAAATTGTAGCTCTGTTCTTGGGTTAAATGTAAGTTGATGTTTTGGTACCTGACCGCCTGTTTAGCTATGGTTACATGGTGTCAGAAATCCACCGGACCCGCACGCCAAGAGCACTGGAAGATTTATGCCAGAAACAAGCAGCGAGGAGCGACAATGGCGAATTTTCAAATTCCACCCCCTGACATTCTCAAGCTCACCGATGGCTCAACGGCATCAAACTGGCGAACTTGGGTTGCTGCCTGGAAGAATTACACATTGGCTACATAGCTGGATAAAGAGGATGAAGTGCGCCAAGTAGCGATGCTGTTGGCAGTTATCGGAAAAGAAGCAAACAAAGTGTTTCGTACTTTCACTTGGGCCTCAGCAGGCGACGAGAAGAAGATTGCGCCCGTCTTAAAGCAATTCGAAGATTACTGTATACCCAGAGAGAACACCATTTACGAACGTTTTCTATTCTTTACTCGAGATCAGCGAGAGTCTGAAACGGTTGATCAATACCTGACGGAATTACGCCAAATTGCAGGGAACTGTGATTTTGAATCACTCACACCAGAGCAGCTTCTCCGTGATCGTTTAGTAACTGGTACCAGGAATGACAAGGTACGTGAAAATTTGCTTAAAGAGAAAAAGTTGACTTTAGAGAAAGCTTTAGATATCGCTCGCGCTGCAGAAAGCACAGTTGCTCAAATTAAAGTTATGACCGTGGAATCTGGTTTGAATGCTATCAAACAGAAAGAAAAAGAGCAGTCTCATGACACTCCTTTAGTAAACAACAACAGGATCAGAAATTGCAGATTCTGTGGCAGGAATCATGAAAGACGCAACTGTCCTGCATTTGGCCAGACCTGTGCGTATTGTAAAAAGAAGAATCATTTTGTAGCCAAGTGCCCAGCAAAAAGTAAGGTGTCTACTGTCCAGGAGAAGTTTTATTTGAGTACTGCAGGTGTCCCAAGCGATGAAGGACGTGAGGTGGTGACCCTCAACGTGTCGAAGGATGCTGATAGTATGACAGGCCATGAAGTTGCCTTCCTGATGGACACGGGAGCTGAGTGTAACCTACTGCCTTTGGATGTCTACAAGGGCGTGACTGGTGACCTGGACTTAAACTCTCTTGATACTCGAGTGAAGTCGGTTCTGATCATGGCTAATGGGTATGAACAACTCATCGAGGGCAAAGCAACCTTGTATGCAACCCGCAACGGACACACACACAAGATACGAGTTAGTGTAGTCAATGGTCGTGGCTATGAGCCAATATTGTCCAAGAAGAGTATGTTAGAAATGAACCTGATAAAGATCCTTGATTGCGACCGAGATCCACGCATAAATGTGCTGAAGACAGGTAAAGACCCCTTACTGGAAGAGTATGCTGACGTATTTGAAGGTCTTGGAAAGCTAGATGGGAAGTATAGTATTGTAACTGACAAGTCCGTGAAGCCTGTTGTCCACCCACCAAGGCGGTTACCTGTTGCCATGACCGAGCACGTGCAGAGAAAGTTGGAGAAAATGACAGCGGATGATGTCATAGCAAAGGTCGATCAGCCCACAGATTGGGTTTCCAGCATGCTGGTGGTGAGTAAGCCGCCTTCTGAAGCAAGTGGGGAGACGAAGATATGCATTTGTCTTGATCCTAGGGATCTGAATGTCGCCATAAAACGAGAAAATTTCCCAATGCCAACAATTGAAGAAATTGCAACTAGGCTAAACGGAGCAAAGTTGTTCAGCGTGTTTGATGCTAGCAATGGCTTCTGGCAGGTGGAACTTGACGAAGAATCCAGTATGCTCACCACATTTAACACCCCTCTCGGGCATTACCGCTGGAAGCGAATGCCGTTTGGCATTAATAGTGCACCAGAAGTTTGGCAGCGAAGAATGCGAGAGCACATAGAGGGGCTTAAGGGAGTAGAGGTCATTGCAGATGATTTTGTGATTGTTGGATACGGCAACACACCGGCTGGTTGGCAGTCAGACCATGACCAAAATGTACGTGCTTTCTTAAATCGCTGTCGTGAAAGAAACCTGAAGCTGAACGAGAAGAAAGCCTGGCTGAGACAGCAAGAAGTTCCCTTTATTGGTCATGTTTTGACACCAGAAGGTCTCAAACCTGACCCGTGCAAGGTGGAGGCAATAGTACAAATGCCTGACCCTACTGATGTTCACTCTCTGCGTCGATTTCTTGGCATGGTGAATTATTTGGCAAAGTTTCTGCCACGCTTGTCAGATGAAACAGAAGTCTTGAGAAAACTCACTGAAAGGGATGCTGAATGGTGTTGGTTACCTGCCCATGCTGATGCTTTGGCCCGTGTTAAAGAAATGATTGTAACCGCCCCTGTACTTGCCTACTATGATGTGAGCAGTCAGCAGTCGGACTTGGAGCTGCCTTGTTGCAAGAAGGGTGTCCAGTGGCTTACAGCTCATGTGTGATGACCCCTACTGAACAAAATTATGCTCAAATCGAGAAGGAGCTTCTTGCAATAGTCTTAGCATGTGAGAAGTTTGATCAGTACATCTTTGGAAGAAGTGATGTAGTTGTCCAGTCAGACCACAACCCGCTGCAAACCATATTCAAGAAACCCATCCACAGCTCCCCAAAGCGCCTCCAACGAATGCGACTCCATTTGCAGAATTATGACATCCAAGTGGAATACAAGAAAGGCACCACCATGTTCTTGGCTGACACCCTAAGTCGAGCATATCTCGAGGGCGAACAGTCGACTGTCCCAAACAGTGATGTCCGTTCCATTAAGGAACCACTATTTGCCTTTGAGTTAGAGCAAATCAAACATGATAAAGAACTGACGGTGTCTCCTACTCGTTTGGAGAGGCTGCGCGAGGAGACTGCTAAGGATGAAGAGTTGCAGATCCTATCCAATGTTATTCGTAAAGGTTGGCCGGAAACCTTGGCACAGGCACGTGAAAATGACAAGCGTCAGAAACAAGTGATCGAGCTGTATTGGAACAGCCGGGATGAGCTGACTACAGAGGATGGTTTGGTATACAAGGGTCATCGTTTAGTCATACCTGCTGGTGAGCGTTCTGACATTGTGAAGAGCCTGCATGAGTCGCATATTGGGGTCGAAGGGACACTGCGTCGAGCTCGTGATATTGGTTACTGGCTGGGAATCACGGCACAGCTCAAGGATTACCTATCGAAATGCGGTATTTGTAAAAGGTATCGACCTGAACAATGTAGAGAGCCACTGCAGCCCCATATTGTGCCCAATCTACCGTGGGAGAAAGTTGGGGTTGATTTCTTTATACTTGAGAGGCAGGCCTTCCTGATAGCCGTTGATTACTACTCTGGTTATTTTGAGGTACAAGATTTGAGTAACACCACAAGCAATCGTGTCATTACGGTCTTAAAGACTTGGTTTGCCAGACATGGCATCCCTGTGACAGTTATAAGTGACAACGGACCGCCTTTCAACAGTGGAGATTTTGAGTCGTTCAATAAAGAATGGGACTTTCATCACATTACTTCAAGCCCTCGCCATCCCCTGAGTAATGGTCGTGTTGAAAATGCCGTGAAGTCCTGCAAGTCGTTGTTGATGAAAGCCCGTGCAGATAAGCGAGATCCTTTGTTGGCGTTACTTGAATGGCGCAACACACCTACTGAGGGAATGCATGCTTTACCTTCTCAGCTTCTCTACGGCAGGCGAACACGGACTCGTCTCCCAGTAGGTAAGACATTGTTAGAGCCTCGTGTGATTACTAATGTACCAAAGATGATTGAGATGAGGAAGCAGAAGCAGAAGCATTATTATGACCAACACACACACGAATTGCCGAAATTAGACAACGGTGATGTCATAAGAATGCGCCTGCCAGGTGAGAAAGAATGGTCCCTTGGACAGGTCATTGGAGATGTAGGCAACCGTTCCTATCAGGTAGAGGTGAATGGGAAACAGTATCGTCGAAACCGCCAATGGTTAAGGGCCACTCCTGAAACGTTGGAGCCTTCCGAAACAAGCGAGCCGACTGAGCTAATCGAGCAGACTGAGACGAGCTCAGTTGCGTTGCCGCAACCATTGGTTCTGCCAACACCAGTAGTTCCAGAGCCACCTAGTCGTCCAACACGTGAACGTCACCCACCACTGTGGCTACAAGATTACGAGTGCTGAGGAACAAGACACTTTTTTTTGACTTTGCCTCTTTGTTTTGTTGTCGTTCCTTTTATTGTTAGGTCTTCCTACCTGTATGCACAGTTTGTTTAGTACATAAGAACCTTGAGGCATAGAGACATTTCGGAACATTACATTTTGTGTTTGTTGAACTGAAACTAAGGGAAGGAGATGTAACGAGTACGCTTACATGAAGCATTGAGCTTCCTGCGGCCGCATGGTATCTTGGGAACAGCTTCCTCGTGTGTCGGCCATGTTGTTAGCATAGTAAATTGGAGCTCTGTTCTTGGGTTAAATATAAGTTGATGTTTTGGTACCTGACCGCCTGTCTAGCTATCGTTACAATATCATAAGATTCTTTCACAGTGATTCTCCATCTCGGCAGTTTGAAGGTGGGCAGCAGAAGGGAGGGCACTATTACTGCTCTGGTTGTGGAGTTAGTGCAGATAGAGTGAATGAGCTAGACCACAGCTTCAGATGCCATACCATCTCATTACATGATAGACAGAAGATTGTAATGAAAGGGTCCATAGGAAAGAGGAACTCTTTCCTTCTGAAGCCAAAGCCATTTAGCGGTCTGCAGAAATCAGAATTGGAATTGGAATTAGGAGGGAGAGGAATTTATGAGGGGAAGACTAAGAAGGAATTACATATTCTCTTGGATTAGAGTCTTCATGGTGTGTGCAGAGTACCAGCACTTCTTTATAACAACCCCAATGCCACCCTTGAATCCTTGAACCTTGGAGGTTATGAGGTACTTCCATGTGAGCCCATGCATGACATTTCACATCACATTGAAAATTTATTGACAGAGCTACCAGCGCATATAGAGGATGAGTCATGTAGAAAAAAATTAGAAGAAGCAGTTGGATTAGCTACAGGGAAGAAAGAAACAAGGCGGGCAGTGGATTACCGATGTTCTTTAATAACAATCTCTTGCTATGTGAGAGGAACAGCCAGCCCTTGAGAGCAACATCTTCTCGACACAATGGTTGACATCCTTTACGGGCAAGACAGATTCAGATCCCACGTTTAATTCTCCATTTCCATAACTCCAGCTGGTACCACCATACTCTTTGTCAAGAAATAGTCGGCTTTAAGAGCGCTTGTCTGTAAAAATCAGACAAATTCTAAATTTCGCGGCAAGGGTGAAAAATTCGATTTCTTTCTTATTTTAATATTAGATAGGCTATACTATAACTAAAATCACTGGATACTTTTTTCGACAAAATATCTTTTTATTTCAGAGAAAAATACAAATCACAAAATTCCGTTAAAATCGTCATTTTTAACAGCAAATTATTGCACAAGTTTGAGGGCTTCGCATTCAAAAACGAATCACAAACTCGTTTTTTTAGCGCTCAAATCTTCTTTTTTAACCTCATAAGACCTCACAAAACGATTTTTGTAAACACTGCGTTCCTCTTTGCGTGTTGTTACGGGAAAATTTACTGATTTTCCCGTGTGTGTTATTCGGTACATATTTATTCGTAAACTTTCACATTTAACTATTTCAAGTCCTTTCATTTTAAAAAATCAAAAAAATGCATAAAAACCACAATGGCTTTTGGAATGGATTTTGTTGATTACTCACTTTTACTATGCACCTGGTTGTCGGCACTTTTGTCATTTATTACATGGTTTTTTTTAGGTAAATATAAGTGTTAATGGTCTTTCTGGAAACATTGGTTTTCATGGTAGTTGACAGCTGAGTTTATACGCGTAAATTTAATTTCTTTTCATGCGATGGTTTCCAAACCAATCTTGCATAGATAAGCAGAAACTTTTAATTGCTTTTCCGTTTTTATTTCCTGAGCTGCGCTGCTGCAATTAAGATAGGTATTGTTTTCTATATTAGAGCTGTAAATTCGCACCTAGGTTTCCTACTATAACGGCCTAGAGTTTATTGCATCCGTCTTTTTAATTTTGAGATTCTTTCCGTCGTAGAAACAGATGGAATATTTAAGTAGTTTTCGTTTAACTTCAAAGAGATCTTTTCCGCTCCTTTGTGTCCTTATTCAAATATTGCGATTTGTGTAACAATAGCACTTCACACCAGTTACTTCTTAAGCAAGTACCTTGTATAGCTTTGATGATTACAAACTAGAGTATGCTAGAGGTCATGTCGCTTGTTGGCCTGACCTAGAATAAAAGTACTGTGGAACCAAGATTGTCTTATCCTTGACGTCCGTATAAACTCGCTCGAAGTAGATCTCCGTGTACCAGGAAATCGTGACAAGTTTCCGTTCTCGCTGCCAAGTGGTCTCTACCGAGTTATTTCCCCCAGTTGTTATTGTTCCGTCCGCGAAGATTCAGTTTTCCAGTTAGCGAGCGAAAAACTATCGTCACAGTGTAAAATAATTTAATTTCGAAAGCATACATTTCTCTTCAATAAAAGTACTTTGTGAGTAAAGTTAATATTCAGCATGTGCTAAACCTTCAAATGGATTAAGCTTTGGGTGGTAGAATTGCGAAAAGATGTTCTTAATATTACTGTAAAAATTTCTTTGGGCAAATTATTGAGAGCGATACGAAAGCTTTTCAAAGTCTGTTAAAATGCAGTTATTTGACCTTTCGCGGTCAACATTCCAGTTGCGAGTCACACACATACTTTAATATGATTCAACCCATATGAGGCCGGAAAATGTACATGGGTACATATTTCCAAATGTTCTAACCTCATTTGCCGTAGAAGAAAGATCGAAAGACCATTTTACCGTGGTTATCTTGTCGCTAGTCGTATTTATAACGTCCGATGAAACTGCCTGTCAATCTGCGAACTGTCACCAACCTTCGTTGTAAAACTTTTGACATCTTTCTGCACCGTGGCATCTTATCCAGCGGTTCAGTTGACTGTGAGCGTTGTTCGGTTTGTGGTGCAGTAGATCTGAGCGATGCTTTTAAAAGTGGCACTACACATATGTTGCAGTCAACGTAGTTTTGTATACGGAGAGTCGTCACGCAATGCAAATCATGCAATGGAAAGTTATTTTTTAGGAGGTAGGGGAAGGGGAAAGTAAAAAGACGTCATTCTGCTGCTAAGCTTCTTTATTGTTGTGAACATCAAAATCTCTTATATGTAAGTCGCGGAGATCGGGCCTTTGGCCAATACTCGTTGAAAAGCTAAATTCAGTACCTGCTAAAAATAGTAAGCCTAAGTAAACAAAACCTGGTTTATGATAATTACACGATGCCTTTTCTTCGCTAAGAGGCTGGGCTTCGGACTTTGTTTTTCACAAATACACTAACTTACACCGTCAACTTTGTTACATAGAAAATGGAAGGTTGTTGTTCGTTCAAGTCGCTTACAGGCGGAGTTTGTGATTACAACTTTAGAGATCGAATGTGTGAAACGGAAATTGTTCCTTTACTTTCATGCACCAAGAATATCGCAAGTCATGAGTTGGCTTTCAAATTTACCGGTCCTGAAGATGAGATCGACCTTATTTTCTGCCGAGCGCACATATGTCGGCCTCTCTGTAGTTTAAGGTTTTAAACGGAAGTTGGTCTGTTAACAGTGGTTAAGAGTACCACTCCCTTATGCAAGCCCCACCCATTGGCCACGGAACATAGCACCCCAGCCTCACATAAGCCACACATCCCCACCACTGCGTTTTGTAGCATGGTGTTGTAAAAATGTACAAAAGGTTCTCTTTCATGCTATTAGGGTATTCCTTGCAATTTTAGTGTAAAGAAAAACACCCCTAATAGGTACGACAGGCACAGAGCGCCAAAAAAACAAGAATAATTCCCTGCAATAAATAAATGTATTTTACTGTTTGTCACCAGACAAAGATGACACTATTGCAAAAATGTTTACAGAATAAAATATTTTTTAGTTTCCAAGAGTTCAATTCTGATAGTGCTTAATTATATGGAGTTTTGCCCTTCACCTATCCCCTAAAGTTCCTGTCACCGGTATTGCGTGACAACCCAAATACTCAAAGGCGTACATGTTTGTAGTCAACTCAGTTTAGCATTGAATTAGACTGTCAGATGTAATCTTTTATTGCATTGTAAACTGAGCAATACTCGCAGTCAACTGAACGGTTGAATAAGATGCCACAGTGAAGAAAGATATCGAACGTTTGACAACAAGATGGTGTTCGACAGGGTTGGTGGTTTCATCGGACGTTATCATTTATACAGACCTAAAACGACGAACGACAAGAGAATCACTCTAAAATGGTCTCTGGTTCGGTCTTCTGCGGCAAATGAGGTAAGAGCATTTGGAAATATCTTTTTATGTACATTTTTCGGCCTCCTATGGGTTGAAACATATTAAAATATGTGTGACTCGCGACTGGAATGTTGACCGCAAAAGGTCAAATAACTGCACTTTAACGGACTTTGAAAAGCTTTTGTATCGCTCTCAATCATTTGCCCAAACAAATTTTTACAGTTATATTGAGAACATCTTTTCGAAATTCAACCGCCAAAAGCTTAATCCATTTGAAGGTTTAGCACATGATGAAAATTAATTTTATTCACGAAGTATTTTTACTGAAGAGAAATCCATGCTTTCGACATTAAATTATTTTAAGCACAAAGAAGAGCGCAATGTTTACGAAATCATTTTGTGAGGTCTTATGAGATCGAGAAGGAAGATTTGAGTGTTTAAAAGACGAGATAGTGATTCGTTTTTGCACGCGAAGCTCTCAAACTCGTGCAATAATTTGCTGCTAAAAATGACGATTTTAACGGAATTTCGTTATTTGTATTTTTCTCTGAAATAAAAAGATATTTTTCCAAAAATAGTATCCAGGGATTTTAGTTATAGCCTAGCCTATCTAACATTAAAATAAGAAAGAAATCGAATTTTCCACCCTTGCCGCGATATGTTTGATTTTTAAAGACAAGCGCTCTTAACACTCAGAAAATGACCTGACCTAACATCCCATGCCCCAATGCAACTAAGTATCAACTCAGGACGCTCTTCAAATGCCGAAGAAGAAGAGATAACATTCAACACAGTCAAATCAATTACTAACAACACATCATGCTATCGCCCTGGCCACATTATCAGCAACATATTCATTCGCTTACAGGCTGAGAAAAAATTAGGAAGATCAGAAAACTGTGTTGAAAAACAAGAATCACAAGTTTCTCGCTTGGCACATTCACTTCCACTGCAAAGCAACACAAGAACTCCAAAGGAACTCATTAAGAAACATTCACGATCATGGCAAGCACACTTAGAAAGAATTAGTGATTTTTTGTTGCCAGGAGAGGGTGTGTGGGGGTGTCAAGATGATGAGTTTGTTGAGTTTTTCGATGCTTGCAGTGAACCTGAGTTCCGAGAGGAAGGTCCCAAGCTGCACCACTTCAGGTCAACCAACTTCAAGAATGAAGAAGAATATTTAATGAAGTGTTGGCAAGAATGTGTAGAAACAGAAGTAATCATTCCAGCCCACTTAATTCGCACTGAAGATCAAGATGGCAATGTAGAGCAAATTTATACTGATTATTTGAATGGCCCTCTGTTCACAGAATTTACATCTTTAAGACCACAGAATCAGTTAGAACCAATAGAAATGCCCCTGTAGGCTAATGACAGCTCATCCACATCTGAAAATGCCGTAAAAGTGCAAGCTCAGTTCTGTATGATGCCAGTGATTACCATCAAGAACCAAACTCTGACCTAGGAGAAGCAGTATGCCTGAGGCTTATCGGAGGAGAGCAAGGTCTAGACTTGGAAGATGACACCCTCTTGGAAAGAGTGTGTGTCACAAATGATGAAGAAGTCAAAACCTCAGGTAGGTGATTCATTGTCTACTATTACCCTCAGGCTGATAAAAGATATTCATTTACATGTATTGTGACAGTATGGATTATTACTATCAGGATATTTGAAAACAATGAACTTTACAATATACAGAGACACAAGAGTACCAGGTAGATAATATGTGAAAAGTCTGCTGCACTGATTTTAAAACTGAGGGGATGACTATGAGGCACGATAATAATCATAATAAATCACTTACAGGAAAGAAACTACTAATGAAACACAACTTGGCTGACTTGGAGAGTTGATTAATATTTTGTTGACCATGTTCATGTAAAGTATTGCCAACTCAATATTTTCCATGTTGCACTTATCATGTACAATGTGTCATTTTGTTATTTGTAGGGAACAGAAGTAGGGCTCTTCAGACAGTGGACTTAAATGCTATATCAAGTGGTAGCTCTGACAGTCAAAAGAAAAGGACAGATTCAACTGGAAATCAAAAGGTACATTATACATGTTACTGTAACAATATAAACAAACAAAGACTGGTTATCATAATAATAGTAAAAGAGGACAGTAACAATAATGATAATAACAATAATAATAATAATAACAATAAAAAAGTTCTAAATTGTGTCTGTTTAACTAATCCCGTTTGGATAATCAAGTTGTAATAACAACTTATACATGTGGTCTGTTGCAAATTAATGTTTCCTGTCTATCCCTCTTTGTAACACAGGAAAAAGAGAAAGATACCTGTTTACTTCAGACCAAGCTTTGTAAAGCGGTATCAGTTTTAGTTGGCACCACACCAGAGGTTCAAAAACTAGATCAAGCAAGGAGACTTCACAAGACCAATCCAAACAACACAGTGCTAGCAAATGACCACCAGACGAAACTTGCTTTAGTGCAATCAAAAGTCTTGACTGAATAACGCAAACTCAAGAAAAAATTTCGAGGAATGGGAGGAGTTCTTTGTGACTCACAATTGTTCGCTGGCATTACCTGAAGATATATACAACGATGCAACAGCAAAGGAGCTAAAGAAAAAAATTAAGTATGCGGATGGGCTGTTAAATTAATGGACAATGGATGCTTTGGGTTGTAAATAATTATTGAGAATGTACACAAGTCTTGTTTTAGACCGTCTGATACGTAATAATTCATGTCAGTGAGGTTGCAGTGTCAGTAAACAATATCATTTTAAAGGTTTATGGCAGCCTTATCAAGCCATCAGTAATAAATTTATGCTTTGGACCATACCTTTTCTCTTGGCCTTGAAAGAAGCTTGTTTCTGACGTTAAAGGGGAAGTACGGTCTAGAAAAAGGTTAACCTATATCAAAAGTTTCTGACTTGTTTTTTTCATAATTGGCAATTCATTTGAGCTTAAAGTGTATTTGTTGCCAGAAATTACGTTTAAAAAATTGACATTTTGGAATTGAAATCCGCCATCTTTGTTATGACGTAGCTATGACGTAGCAATAGTCAAGCGTTGTAATGTCGACTAAGATGGATGAAAACATAGAAAACAGCGGCGAGGAGAGCGATAATGACTCAATTCTCGACTTGGATCTTAATCCAGACGGTGTAATTCGTCCATTCATGTTTAAGCCGCAACATAGCTCATCTTCAGGAGAAGAAGAAATCTCTGTTGACAAAGAAACTCAGGAAGAGATACAAGAAGAAACATCTACGCGCTCACGTCTTGGAATTCGCGAGTGGTGCTCTTGCGGCAACTGTCAAGAGATGCCAACAGAAAACGAGTGTATATGCTGTCAAGAAATGGATGTACTAGGTGATCGACTCGACCTGGAAGGTAATTAATTCTTCTCAAATAAAATCTTTGTTTCTAAAGTGATAATTTTTTTTTTTACAAAAGAACGGCGCAGTGCCCGCAATGGATTTATTTCACCCCGCTAACTGAGTGATATGAACTATCACTGAAATTGCAGGTAACAAGCTTCAGTGTATTACGGAGCACGATTCATTTGGACCCGTGTGCTTACTAGCGGACGTCTTGAGAACAGCCCTAGTTGGCATGCACCAAGTGAGAAATGACAGACTTGAAAATTATCCGTCAAATGAGTAAGCACCGACAGAGTAAATATTTTTCACAAAATTCATGCAAACAAAACGCTTTAGTTGTTTACGAGTTCGTGTGACGCGAACCCTAAGAAACAAATGCAGTGTTGTTAGCCCTTTTTTAATACAAGTGGTGCTGTAGTCTTTTTGTCTGAAGGGTGAACTTCATCGCTACATTTAATTGTAAAGAGCCAGTAGACCTCAACATAGTCGAATACCAATCGTGTTTGTCAGCCGTGTGGTGGAGGATGACCCACTTCTCTTTGAGGAGCTGGGGATTTCCGTCACACGTCATCAACCACAACATATGTTTTTACGGATTTTATCCAAGGAGAGAGGTCCTTGCATTCTTTTTTCTTGGCTTTCGTGACTAGCTTGGACTTGATGTTCTTAGTCAAGTGCCACACGTCTGCCTGGTGCTCAACACCGAGGTCCTTGTACTCGCTTTTCATGAGTGCCTTGATACCGGTGTGCCTGTCAGTACCTACAACACCTACAGGAATGCCACTATTTAGTGCGCGATCAAGACAATGCTTAAAACCACGTTTCTCCATTGCCTGTGAACATGTACTCTGCTTTACATGGCAAACTTCGAAATCGACAATTTTCTCACTCTCTTTGTCCATCATGGTGTAAATTCCGTATTTGGCACTATAGCCTGGGGAGTCACAACGTCCATCCCCGAGGAGAGTGACTGAGTTCCTGTCTAAGAGATCGGCGAGGACTGCCGCCTTTTCCTGCTGCCAACGATCATTTATAATCAGGCAAAAGCTGCTTCTTCTGCCTGTTGCGATAAACTGATTTGCTCAGAAAGGCAAGATCTATCTATCACAAAGAGAGTGAGAAAATTGTCGATTTCGAAGTTTGCCATGTAAAGCAGAGTACATGTTCACAGGCAATGGAGAAACGTGGTTTTAAGCATTGTCTTGATCGCGCACTAAATAGTGGCATTCCTGTAGGTGTTGTAGGTACTGACAGGCACACCGGTATCAAGGCACTCATGAAAAGCGAGTACAAGGACCTCGGTGTTGAGCACCAGGCAGACGTGTGGCACTTGACTAAGAACATCAAGTCCAAGCTAGTCACGAAAGCCAAGAAAAAAGAATGCAAGGACCTCTCTCCTTGGATAAAATCCGTAACAAACATATGTTGTGGTCAGCGATGACGTGTGACGGAAATCCCCAGCTCCTCAAAGAGAAGTGGGTCATCCTCCACCACACGGCTGACAAACACGATTGGTATTCGACTATGTTGAGGTCTACTGGCTCTTTACAATTAAATGTAGCGATGAAGTTCACCCTTCAGACAAAAGACTACAGCACCACTTGTATTAAAAGGGCTAACAACACTGCATTTGTTTCTTAGGGTTCGCGTCACACGAACTCGTAAACAACTAAAGCGTTTTGTTTGCATGAATTTTGTGAAAAATATTTACTCTGTCGGTGCTTACTCATTTGACGGATAATTTTCAAGTCTGTCATTTCTCACTTGGTGCATGCCAACTAGGGCTGTTCTCAAGACGTCCGCTAGTAAGCACACGGGTCCAAATGAATCGTGCTCCGTAATACACTGAAGCTTGTTACCTGCAATTTCAGTGATAGTTCATATCACTCAGTTAGCGGGGTGAAATAAATCCATTGCGGGCACTGCGCCGTTCTTTTGTAAAAAAATAAAAAATTATCACTTTAGAAACAAAGATTTTATTTGAGAAGAATTAATTACCTTCCAGGTCGAGTCGATCACCTAGTACATCCATTTCTTGACAGCATATACACTCGTTTTCTGTTGGCATCTCTTGACAGTTGCCGCAAGAGCACCACTCGCGAATTCCAAGACGTGAGCGCGTAGATGTTTCTTCTTGTATCTCTTCCTGAGTTTCTTTGTCAACAGAGATTTCTTCTTCTCCTGAAGATGAGCTATGTTGCGGCTTAAACATGAATGGACGAATTACACCGTCTGGATTAAGATCCAAGTCGAGAATTGAGTCATTATCGCTCTCCTCGCCGCTGTTTTCTATGTTTTCATCCATCTTAGTCGACATTACAACGCTTGACTATTGCTACGTCATAGCTACGTCATAACAAAGATGGCGGATTTCAATTCCAAAATGTCAATTTTTTAAACGTAATTTCTGGCAACAAATACTTTTTAAGCTCAAATGAATTGCCAATTATGAAAAAAAACAAGTCAGAAACTTTTGATATAGGTTAACCTTTTTCTAGACCGTACTTCCCTTTAACGTCAGAAACAAGCTTCTTTCAAGGCCAAGAGAAAAGGTATGGTCCAAATCATAAATTTATTACTGATGGCTTGATAAGGCTGCCATAAACCTTTAAAATGATATTGTTTACTGACACTGCAACCTCACTTACATGAAATATTACGTATCAGACGCTCTAAAACAAGACTTGTGTACATTCTCAATAATTATTTACACCCCAAAGCATCCATTGTCCATTAATTTAACAGCCCATCCGCATACTTAATTTTTTTTTTTTTCTTTAGCTCCTTTGCTGTTGCATCGTTGTATATATCTTCAGGTAATGCCAGCGAACAATTGTGAGTCACAAAGAACTCCTCCCATTCCTCGAAATTTTTTCTTGAGTTTGCGTTATTCAGTCAAGACTTTTGATTGCACTAAAGCAAGTTTCGTCTGGTGGTCATTTGCTAGCACTGTGTTGTTTGGATTGGTCTTGTGAAGTCTCCTTGCTTGATCTAGTTTTTGAACCTCTGGTGTGGTGCCAACTAAAACTGATACCGCTTTACAAAGCTTGGTCTGAAGTAAACAGGTATCTTTCTCTTTTTCCTGTGTTACAAAGAGGGATAGACAGGAAACATTAATTTGCAACAAACCACATGTATAAGTTGTTATTACAACTTGATTATCTAAACGGGATTAGTTAAACAGACACAATTTAGAACTTTTTTATTGTTATTATTATTATTGTTATTATTATTATTATTGTTACTGTCCTCTTTTACTATTATTATGCGATAAGATGAAGCGAAAGCTTCGAAACCCGACAAACAAGTAGATTCAGACTTGACAGTAAGTTCACTCTTGTTATTTGAGTTGGAGGTAGCTGCAGGCGGTCTCGGGAGCAAATAAAAGCGGGTAAATAGGCCAATAAACAGAAGAACCAACGGAGCTCGAAAATATACGTCCATCATGAAGTATGTTAGACTGTAGGAACTTCCCATCTATTGTTTATAGTATACTGTGACAGTTTGTCAGGGTTGCCTTGGTTGGAGTAAGGGCACTGTGAACTGTCACTTGTTTGAGACTACTCAAATTTTTCTAGTCTCCTTTTCAACCCACAGTTTCTTGCAGAGAGCATCTCTCGCTTTCACTGCTTCACCAGAGTTGTCTATTGAACTTCTACACTCTGTCTTTAGCAGAAGTTTTCTAATTTCTTCATGATCCCTCTTTTCCTGGGCTATACAAATGTTATGGAGGACCATGCATTGCAGGGTGACTGTCCGCATGTGTTCCTTGTTGCTCTCCCTTTTTCTAAGAAGCACTCTCCACCTTCCCTTTAGCTGACCTTATGGCCTTTCTGTCACCATGCGCGCTCTGCTAAGTCGGTAGTTGAAGTACCTCTGCTGTTGGTTTAAGGTGGAAATGGTGTAAGGTTTCATCAACCACGATTAGAGGGGAAATGCGAGTCCCCAACTATAAGTGGGGGTATGCTGACTACACCAACAGTTATTACCATATTTGCCAATAATCCACTTTGAAGCAAGTCCCATAAGTTTGTGGACTTAAATTATGCATTTATTGTCTATATCTTTTCATATATACAACGTTAGTACACGTTTTATTTGTACTATGTTGCTCTCCTTTGCATTAGTTGTCCAGATTGTGCAATGTTTTAAAATCATTGACTGAATTTTCTGTATTCATTTGACAGCGCTTCACTAGTACCAAACACACTGGTGGTGATTCCTCTCCCAAATCGTCCCACTTCAAAAGTTGAAAAATGTGGCGATCTTTTGATTGAGAGAATTAAAGTGTATGTAATACACACCTTTGGCAACTACGAATATGTCAAATAACCGTGTATTAAACATGGGTCAGCACAGGAAATCACACCTATCGTGAAGTTCATAATCTTTTGGTATCATTTTGTCTTTGTTGTCTCTAAAATCCAGTCTGATGGCTTGCCATACTGTTTGACTCCCTATCCTAATGGGAAGTGCCTTAGCCTTGTCCAAAATAAAAAATTGCGTTGAAGTGAACCACTCCGCACTCTCTGGCGCACTCACTGAAGCGGCATTCCTTTGAAACAAGTCTGCACCACGAGGCAAAATCTTCAATAATTTGGGATGTGCAGTCGTACGGAGCGAGCTCCTACTGGCAAAAAGGTCTTCCATGAACGGATTTTTCGTGACCACAACGAAAAATACTGAGGCCAGTCAGCATAGTCTTTGACGACATTTGACCTAAACGACCCTTAATCGCTTTCTTTGCTGGAGAAGCTACTGAAGTACAGGGTAGTCTCATATACCGGGTTCTGAAGTAACTAATAATTAACAGATAGTTGTACGTAGTAGAAGGGTAAAGTTAGTGGGTACCAGGAGGGTCAGACAGAGGACTAGAAGACCAGTGAGAACAGAGGACCAGTGGGTATAGAGGACGAGAGGAACAGTGGGCCCAGAGAAACCAGTGGGTACGGAGGACCAGAAGACCAATAGGTACAGAGGACCAGAGGAACAGTGGGTACACAGGATCAGCGAACAGTGGGCACAGAGGACTAGAGGAGCAGAAGGCACAGAGAATTAGTAGTACAGTGGAAAAGTAGGAACAGAGGATCAGTGAACAGTGAGCATAAAGGACCAGAGGAACAGTGGGCACCGCAAACCAGTGGAACAGTGGGTACAGAGAACCAGTGGAACAGTGGGTACAGAGGACTAGAGGAACAGTGGACACAGAGGACCAGTGGAACAGTGGGTACAAAGGACCTGAGAAACAGTGGGCACAGAAAACCAGTGGAACAGTAGGTACAGAGAACCAGTGGAACAGTGGGCACAAAGGACCAGTGAAACAGTGGCTACAGAGGACCAGAGGAACAGTGGGCACAGAGGACCAGAGGAACAAAGGGCACAGAGGACCAGAGGACCAGTGGGTACAGAGGACCCGAGGAACAGTGGGTACAGAGTACCAGTGGGTACAAAGGACCAGAGGAACAGTGAGACCAGAGGAACAGTGGGCACAGAGGAACAGTGGATACAGAGGACCAGAGGAACAGTGGGAACAGAGGACCAGTGGACACAGAGGAACAAGGGGCACAGAGGACTAGAGGAACAGTGGGTACAGAGGATCAGAGGAACAGTGGATACAGAGGACCAGTGGGTACAGAGGACCAGAGGAACAGTGGGAACAGAAGACCAGTGGGTACAGAGGACCAATGGAACAGTGGGTAAAGAGGACCAGAGGAACAGTAGGAACAGAGGGAACAGTGGAACAGTGGGCGCAGAGGACCAGAGGAAGAGTGGATACAGAGGACCAGAGGAACAGCGGGTACAGAGGACCAGTGGGTACAGAAGAACAGAGGAACAGTGGGCACAGAAGACTGGTGGGTACAGAGAACCAGTGGATACAAAGCACCAGTGGGCACAGTGAACTAGAGGAACAGTGGGTTAAGAGGACCAGAGGACCAGTGGTCACAGAGGACCAGTGGGTACAGAGGACCAGTGAGTACAGAGGACCAGAGGAACAGTGGGTACAGAGGACCAGAGGAACAGTGGGCACAGAGGACCAGAGGAACAGTGGGTACAGGGGACCAGATGAACAGTGGGTACAGAGGACCAAACGAACAGTGGGCACAGAGGACCGGAGGAACAGTGGGAACAGAGGAAAAATGGGTACAGATGACCAGAGGAACAGTGGGTATAGAAGACAAAAGGAAAAGTGAGTACAGAGGACCAGAGGAAGTTTGGGTGTAGAGGAATGGGAGAACAGTGGGGAATATGGGAAAAAAAGTTCGGAAATAGTGGAACAGTGGGTACAGAGGACCAGAGGAACAGTAGGAACAGAGGGAACAGTGGGTACAGAGGACCAGAGGAACAGTAGGAACAGAGGGAACAGAGGAACAGTGGGCACAGATAACCAGAGGAACAGTGGGTACAGAGGACCAGTGGGTACAGAGGATCAGAGGAACAGTGGGAACCGAGGACCAGTGGGTACAGAGGACCAGTGGGTACAGAGGAGCAGTGGTCACAGAGGAGCAGGGGAACAGTGGGCACAGAGGACCAGAGGAAAAGTGGGTACAGAGGACCAGAGGAACAGTAGGTACAGAAGACCAGAGGAAAAGTGAGTTTAGAGGACGAGAGGAAGTTTGGGTGTAGAGGAAAGGGAGAATACTGGGGAACATGGGAAAAAAGGATCAGAAAGAAGCCTCTATTATTAAGTTGCGACGGTTGATATATTTAGTTATTTGCCATGTTGTCGTTTAAGTTTTATTTGTGAGCAAAGTAAATTGTAAGAGCTATTTTCAGGTTAAATGAATTTTAACAAATATATATCTATTAATGTTTGAGTACATTATAGTTCCATATAAAAATTGAATTAAAGAGTTGCGGCTAACATAACTATTTTGAAAACGTTTTCTCAAGTTTCAAGAAAAAATTATCTAAAACTTGAACTATATTACAGCTTAATATAGCAACAAGATCTATTCATTTTCGAAATGACTGTTTGACATATGCGTAACAGTAAGAAAAATTAAACAAAGCATTCAAAAATTTATCGCATTCCTAAGCACGTTTGATGGTGTTCACTTCTTTGAGGAACACAGTTCAATTTGTGTTTTGAATAACGCCGCCATAATGGCTGCTTCGTGATCGTGAGTTGCAATGGCTCGCTTGATTTGTTCATGTGATTTTTTTCTGAGCAGTAGCGGCTTAGGTTCTAGGGTGCAACTGATAGATTGAACAAGATTGTAGTGGGTCAGCAGAGAGGAGGTATTCAGCTCCTTCCCGCTTGCAAGTGACAGTCATATAAGATCTTGCACGACAAAGAACTCCTCCCTCGTCAGTGTTCCCTCTCGTGGCGGTTCTCCTTTCATATGGATGTAGGCTTGCTAGGTATGCTTTTTCAAGTTTTGAAAATCATACTTTCGCCGTTTACGTGGTGCACCGCACTCAATATTTGCACTTTCGGGTTGACGTTGTCCAAATGGATTTGAACAACTGCGGCATGTGCAACTTCCAGAGCAACTTACTCGAGCTTTAAGACACTTACACCTGCTCGAGTATGAACCAATTATGTTATTGCAAATATTTGCTACTGACCCTTGGCCTTTCTTTCTGACTCCACGGGAGCAAAACACCTTCGCTCGTTTTTATTTCTTCTTTATTTCTTCGCCTATCTTTTCTTCTGGTTCCAAGAGATAATTTTCTCGACAGACGTAGTCATAATGCCCACAACCAGCAGCATTAAATGATAGAAACAAAGAAGGCATACCATGTAACTGTTGACATGGCAGTATAGGAATAGTTGGGAAGTTTTCCAGAGATGAAAAGATCACAATTGGAATTTTTAACACATTAGCCATGGCTAGAACCATAAGATTTCCCAGCTCTCCAGTAAAATAACCACGATGGGAGAACCGCTCAACTTCGTTTTCAAAATTGTCAGTGGTTACCACTGGTCCTCTGGTACTCTGTACCCACTGGTCCTCTAGTCCTCTAGTCCTCTGTTCCCACTGTTCCTCTAGTCCCCTGTACCCACTGGTCCTCTGTTCCCACTTTTCGTCTGGTCCTCTGGTCCTCTGGGCCCACAGTTCCTCTGACCCTCTGTAACTACTGGTCCTCTCCCTCACTGTTCCTCTGGTCCTCTGTTACCACTGGCGCTGTGTACCAACTGGTCCTCTCACCCACTGTTCCTCAGGTCCACTATGCCTACGGATCCTCTCACCCACTGTTCCTCTGGTCCTCTGGTCCTCTGTACCCACTGTTCCTCAGGTCCACTGTGCCCCCTGGTCCTCTCACCCACTGTTCCTCTGGTCCTCTGGTCCTCTGTACCCACTGGTCCTCTGTTCCCACGGTTCCTCTGGTCCTTATTTTCCTCTGTTCCTCTGGTCCTCGCTTTCCACTGTTCCCCTGGTCCTCTTTACTCACTGGTCCTCTGTTCCCACTGTTCCCCTGGTTCTCTGTGCCCACTGGTCCTCTGTTCCTACTGTTTCTCTGGTCCTCTGGGCCCACTGTTCCTCTGACCCTCTGTAACTACTGGTCCTCTCCCTCACTGTTCCTCTGGTCCTCTGTTACCACTGGCGCTGTGTACCAACTGGTCCTCTCACCCACTGTTCCTCAGGTCCACTATGCCTACGGATCCTCTCACCCACTGTTCCTCTGGTCCTCTGGTCCTCTGTACCCACTGGTCCTCTGTTCCCACTGTTCCTCTGGTCCTCTGTTCCCACTGTTCCTCTGGTCCTCTGCACCCACTGGTCCTCTGTGCCCTCTGGTCCTCTGTACCCACTGGTCCTCTGTTCCCACGGTTCCTCTGGTCCTTATTTTCCTCTGTTCCTCTGGTCCTCGCTTTCCACTGTTCCCCTGGTCCTCTGTACCCACTGGTCCTCTGTTCCCACTGTTCCCCTGGTTCTCTGTGCCCACTGTTCCTCTGTTCCTACTGTTTCTCTGGTCCTCTGTGCCCACTGTTCCACTCGTCCTCTGTTCCCACTGTTCCCCTGGTCATCTCTACCCACTGTTCTTCTGTTCCCAGTGCTCCACCGGTACTCTGTTCCTACTATTCCTCTGTTCCCACTGTTCCTCTGGTCCTCTGTACCCGCAGGTCCGCTGTGTCCACTTAACTTAGTAGGTTAAAGAATTAAAATAAGAGAGTTGTGCAGACTATATCTTACTTTTTACCCTCTTTTGGATATTTATCCAAATAACATAGTCACTATCACTCTCATTCACTCTCGATTTCCACTGAGCTTGTGGAAAGAGGATAATGTAATAAACCTCAGAATTTCTTTGAATGAAGAAAGGAAAGTCTGCCCTCTTACCACAGATAGTTCTTCTGGGCATCATCAGTACAAACCTGGTTTAATTTTTACATGAAGGTGATTGTTCCAGGTAGGCTTACCTTAAAAATGAGGTAATTTAGTGTTAACAACGAGGTTAAAATCGTAAATCGGCCGCCGTAAAGAGCAAACGAGCTGACGTCTCGAGCTCTGTCGAAGGGCCAACGCTTGAAACGGCAGCTCTTTTACTCTTTACGGTGGCCAATTTACGTTTTCAACCTAGTTGTTAACACTAAATTACTCGCTACACTCTCCCACCAACGCAGCACCACAGTTTCTTTAGAAACTTACCCCTTTAACCTTAATGAATGTTTGATTCAATTTCACTTCCTTAACCAACATGTAAACTGAATAAATAGAAACTTGAAATTTTTTTGTTCTCCTTTTGAGGTGTGCATCAAAATTTCAAAGTTATCGCAGGCTTGAACTACAGGTTTAGAGGAAATCTGCATGTGTTTTCAACATATAAACTCAGGATTATGACTACTTCAATTGACTTTACTGCGTGCCAATAAAGGTACAGGCAAGTGTTGTGAGAAGGTTTGCTTAGTTTTTTCATTAGTACACATTTCTTTTTCTAAGAATCTTGTTTATCCGGCCTATGCTGAAGTCTAATTTTTAAACCAAATTTTCTTTTCTTTTGAATATTCTTAGATCTCCTAGTATTAGTTAATATTCATTTAATAAAAATAATTATATGAAATCTTGCAGATGTATGGCACATTATTTTTTCCTCTAACATTTTATTATGTGTAGGGATTGGTATTGGCTATAAAATTTCAGTCAAATTAAAGTTTTGTGCACAGCCTAGGCATCAAAAATTTATATAATAAAATTTTATATCCTTCTTAAAGCCAGTTTATCAGAATAGGAATGAGTTAGCAGGCACAAGTGTGGCTTTCACAATGATAGTTTTCAGGTTTGAAAAAAGTCAATGCTTACTGAAATCCTCAATTCCTTTGCCCTGACAGCCTAACCTCATCAAAACATTGTCAACAGGAGCAATAAGCAAATCAGTGATACAGACAAGAGAGCCTATTCCCAAATACACCCTCCTCAATCCTGTTAGCTTATTATGGGCATGGCATTTCAAACATGACGTTTATGCCACAAATTTTCCATCCCCTGATTAATTATTTTGTAATGGTGTTTACAAGTTGTGGGAAATTGTTGGGTTTAATATAATACAAATACTTGCTGGGAGATAGTCAAATGACTGAAAACTTTTTATATATCAATAAAATTTATTGTTGCGTTTCATGTCAACATGTTGCAACAACTCCAACTTCCAGTAAATTCAACTAATGGCAAACACGAGAAAATGTCTTCTAAAACTTTTCAACCTATTTAATATAGCCAATAACAGCATCAACTCAACTTTTAAAACTAAATAGAAAACTTGAATGATACTTGGAATTGATTTCTGTGATGTGGAAATGAAATCCAAGTATTACCTCACGTTTTCTTGAAGAAATCTACATTATATCCAGTTACACCAGAGGTTACTGAATTAAATAACAGAAAATATCAGAAAAAGACGTCGTGTACTTCCAGCCAGAGGACAAACATGGAACAGAATAGCCGAAAGCAAAAATTAAAAAAAAAATTACAGTTTCAAACACGAGTTGAAAAGTACTTTTCTTTTTAATTTTCTAAGCTAAACAGAGAGGGTTGAAACGTTAGAGAAAAGCGGTGGAGCAAGCAGTCCTACCTGGCAACTTCAAGAGAAGATCTAAGAGAGGCCAAGTTAAGAATTTTTTCATGCTCAGCGTGCGTATGTGGAGTTATGGATGCGCGCGGGAAGTTTGGAGAGCACGAAAAAATGCATAAGAGTAGCTCTAGGCGCAGCCGAGGGCAACGCAAGGCTTTGCTCGTTTCTGTGACCGGAGATAGCCATGATGTGCTTGTTGGGAACTCCAGCATTAGACCACAAAGTTATTGCCGTCGCCCTGAGACTGTGGGGATGCGATAGGAATGCTCCCTCACTGGTATTTTTCATCATGGAGCCCAGCGAGCTCACCTAACGAGCCACGCTTCGTACCAGACGTTGTCTTCGACGCTCAAATTCTTGCGAGGATATTGGAAAAACGCTTAGCACTTTGGGTTCAACTTGGTGGGGTAGAGCTTCAAGGCTTGATAGCCGTCGTTCGTATCTTCTGTTTCGTACATTCGGGCGTACTTTTCCATGCTCGGAATGTCGCCAACTCCACCAGAATGATTTTTTTTATGCCTCATCATGCACCATTAATGCGTATTTTCGGCCAGTTGGATCTACTTCAAACTTACAGGTG